TGGGCTTTGTTGCTTCTGAGCTAGATGGCCGCTTGTTTATCTTCAAGCTTTTAAGACCCCAGATGCTATATCTTTTGATGGCCAGGCACCATCAGCTTTCTTCACAAATGATGAATTAATTATCGTATATATTCAAGTATAAGCTGACCCGAATATCAGCTGAGGCACCCAATTTTACCACAAAAACTGCATTAAAAATGTGCTGAAGAGCCTTGGCTTATATACAAGTAAATGTGGTACTCCGTAAAAGTTGATGGGGCCGTTGATAATTCTTGTTCATTGAAGATTGGATTTCCTTCTTTATACTGTACACAAATTCATTTCTACTTTTCCTAGAAGTAATGTTGTTGTTACATGCTGTAGAGATGGTTCTGACTCATAGCAGTCCTGTGTATAACAAACGAAACACTGCCCACGCCTGCTTCATCCTCTCACTCATTCCTGTATTTGAGCCCAATGCCACATCCACTGTCAGTTCATCTCCTCGAGGGTCTTCCTAGCCAGTGCACTTTACCAAGAGAAATAAAACATGTAAATATTAGCCAGACATAAGCGTGATCCCATTCAGACTTAGCAAAACCAATCAAATTAACCAAAAATGTAGTCAAAGCAATAAAATTACATAAAGCTTATAAGATGTTAGGTTTTTCATATGTACAAGCAGCAGTGTAGAAAATGTGATGGAAGTTTTGAGTTAAAATAACAAATTGACTTGACACATTTAATTTTGCTCCCTCCCGAACCCGAACCTCTCATAGCATGTGTGGTTCTGTGCTGGAGGCTCGGAGGTGTTGAAACAGAAGTTCAGTGGGGTGGAGCATTTGTGAATTAGACTTGCTTGGGCACTAGCTCTGTGTCTCATCTCTAATGTCTGTTCTCACTGTAAGATTGTATGCCTTTTAGAATTCAGTAAAGAGAAGATGTTGAATATTCTTTATGTCTAAAAGTCCTTTAATAGAGGGGCAGGATAAACCCATACACCTACAGAGGCCGGGGGGAAGAGGCTAGCGCCAAGTGGCAGTGAAGTTGTAACGAACCTTTCCCCTCGTTTTTTTAGCACTGTTTTATCTTGTTTCCTTTACTTGTCCAAGTGGAAGGTAAGTTCTTCCTCTCCATGTATTCTTAGGTTACACAGGATGACATCCATCGAAAGAGAAGAAAAAGAGAAAGTGAAAAAAAAGGAGAAAAAACAAGAAGAGGAAGAAACCATGCAACAAGCTACGTGGGTAAAATACACATTTCCTGTCAAGCACCAGGTGATTTCTATTATCTTCATCTTGTTACATAGCCACGTCTGCGGCCCTTCCTAAGCAAGCTTTAATGTTTGATAACTTTGTCTTTTGCTATACCGTCTCTTAACATAGTCGAGATAAGTAAATCTTTCTGATTGTTTTACAAGCATAGGCTTACTTTAGTAGCATACATAAGAATTATGAGGTCGGTTGATAGAAATTGTTATAAAACTGTAAGATTGCATTACCTTTTGTGTATTAGGAGTATTAAGGTCTTTCAAGCTTTTTTCTAGCTACATTAAAAATATTTTTAAATTATCTTACATAGAGATAATATATATAGGTATGTATATATATATATATATAATTGGCCATTTCAGCATTTCCTACATACAGAATTCAGTGACATTAATCACCATCGCTGTTTCTAACTATTCCCATCCCCCACAACAGAAATTTAGTACTCCTAAGCTCTTTTAACTCCCTCACCCCTCCTCAATTCTTAACCTCCCCATAAAAAGCAGATTGGATCAGTACATTTAATTCATTGGTTGGCTTAAAAGTCTTGTTAGAATGAGCCTCCATGGCACAAGGGTTAAAGAACCAAACTACAAAACCAAGGGATCAGCAGTTCAAACCCAGCAAGCCGCTCCCCGCAAGAAAGGTATGAGCGCCTCCTTATAGCGACGTCCAGTCTTGGAAACCCTCACGGGCTTGTGGGTAAAAATGTAGAGACCCTCTTTGCTTTGTTGGCACTGTCATTCCTATATGATAATCAGGATATTTTTAATTTTTCCCAGGTTTGGAAACAAAAAGGGGAGGAATACAGAGTAACAGGATATGGCGGCTGGAGCTGGATTAGTAAAACACACGTGTATAGATTTCTTCCTAAATTGCCAGGCAACACTAATGTGAATTACAGAAAGTTGTTAGAAGAAAGTAAGTAATGGAAGTTCTTTTTCCTGCATAACCTTTTTGATCTGTAGTATTGCTTATAAATTAGTAGTTTGTTGATCATTTTGGATTTAGAACATTTTTCACTCTTTCAACAGAAACCACAGAAGTAAAAATGTGGGCTAGTAAGAGAATTTGGATGCTTTAAAATTTGAGCTCAAGAAAGATGCTAAAAGAGAACAAAAGGAGAGCGGAGGTTTTGGCTGCCTATATTTTGGTTTTTTAAAATCTAGAGTTCAGTACTATTTACCTTCTTGAAGAGTCAGAAATCTGGCTTACCAGCGCCAGAAAGGAAGCGATCACAGACTCTACAACACTTCACTGCGGGGTCCACTCACCTGATAAAGTCCTGGCCAACAGACTCTGGTGTTCAGAAACAGCACTCCTGCATCTGACTGCCCTTTTCGGAGGCCGAGCAGTTCAGCGATCCGTAACCTGAGCAGACTCTTGAACACCTTCAGTGACGTGCTAAGAGTTCACCAGATAAGGAAGGGCAAAACCCTGGCTAGACCCGGTGTCTCTCCCCTGCAGTCCTTCCTTTGTTACCTAAGCAGTTTTCAGAAACAGCTATGGGAGCTGCAGTGTAATTTGCTGACGTGTGGTGTCATCTGTCTTTCCTGTGAAGCCTAAGCTGGGAGATTGCATGGTGCCCACAGCAGAGTATGTCCACACTGAAGGGTTCGGCTTCCTTGGGAAGGGTTCTGGTGAAACCTGAATTGGAAGGTGTGTGACACCTACTAGGGTTGGTTTCTCTCTTAACTGGAAGAATGTGTCCTTGATAACACTCACTAAGATTTGTTTCATTTTCTACCCCCAAGAGTATCTTTCTTTTCTTTTTTTTTTTTTTTTGAGTATTTTTCTTTCAAAGCTAGATGCTCAATAAGTGTTGTCATGTACTGAATAGAAATATTCAATCTAGTTCTAATAGTAATCTGTTATATTCAAGAGCAGTATCCATTATAACCAATTCAAACAAGTGTTATCACTTCTTCCACTGCCATTTTGTTGTCTCAGATATTGTTCTGGTTACCCAGGGAGCACTTAGAATTCAAAGGGACTCCTAATTTAACGATCTGATCTAGTTTGGTCTGTGTATTAAAATCCAGGTCCTCAATAATGGAAAAGATTTAGGTTGTGGCTGTTTGACATCCACTTTTCTCAATAGGGTTTCTCATTATCCAAATGCCATCGGGCCTTAATGCATTAGAGTTGTCTTCTCACATCTTTTGGGCCTCTTCTCCCACGTAGCAGCAGGGAAGAAGCAGCAGTGCGAGTTGTCCAGGCTCTGTTCACTTCAGAATGGGGAGTGCAGGGAAGGGCAGTGTCAGTCCTTAGGATAAAATCCCATCTAATCTGATCATGTGCTAGAAGCACTGATGTGTCGAAACAGAGAAAAATGCAGTGGGTAGGCTACTTGACAGTGCCTCAGAAAACTAGTTAGTACATTAGACTTGTTTGGCCACTAGCTCTGTCTTTCTTACCTTTAATGCCTAATTTTTACACTTCAACAAAGAATCTACGTTAAATATTTCTTTAAGACGAGAAGATCTGGACTAGAAAGGAAAGACCAAACACTTCATAGTTACCCGTTTTTTAATATCAGAGTTCTTAGAGATTGTAGAAGGAGGGGGCTTTCACTGGCAAATAGAGCTCTTCTTGAGCACCTTGAACTGTTAACAAAATCGTGCCTGACCGTTCTGCAGGCACTAAAGAAGATGACTTGGTGTAATTGGCGGGCTGGTGTGACTTGGGAGCGCAGCCCTGCCGACCATTCTTTCCTGCTCTCCCCTGTTCTCCCACAGGTGCTGGGACGGGCTTTCATGCCCTCACCCTTCCCGTAGCCACCCCTTCCTGGAAGGGATCATTCATTTAGATAAAATATTGATGCACCTTGGTTAGCCTTCAGATGTGTGGGTTAACATACAGAAAGAAATGAAAGGGGAAAAGATGCTTCTAAACCCCAAGAAGATTCATCTTGATTTAGTAATGTTGTTGGTTTGTTTTCTCCTTATGGAAAATGTGGAACTACATAAAAGTAAGCAGACTGGAATAATGAACACCTCGAGAACTAGCCCTCAACGTCAGTCGTAATCAAAATCTGTCACTCTTGTGTCCCTTGCTCCTGCCCTACTGCCACCCAAGTATCAAATGCTGGAAAATCGTAATTTCCATTAAACTCGGTGTATTAAAGTAAATCACCAGCATTGGAAATCTCTGTAATTACTAAACACTTGATTCTTGTTTAGCCAAAAACAACATGGATGAAAATATGGATGAATTGGATAAGAGAAAAAATCCAAAAAGCCCCCCCAAAATAAAAGCAGAACTTGATTCCGAGAAAGAAGAGGGAAAAGAGTCAGACGCTGCACACGGAGACCAAAGTGAAATGGACATCTCAAAGACCACGGAGAAGGACCCCGGTGAGGAGGGCAGTGTGGGGCGATACAAGCACATGGGTCTGGGGTTTACAACCGGGAAGAAAGGTACTGGCAGAGAAAGAAATGTCAATCAAAACTGACCAAGCTCCTCTGCCAAGGGCTCACACGCCTCATTTGCATAGTCCCACCCAGTGGTTTGGTGGGAGTTACAGTCATGGCTAGACCGCCACCTTAAGAAATTTCGCCTCCAGGAGGGTGGAGGGAAGGTGAGGGAGAAAGGGGGAACAGATTACAAGGATTTACATATAACCTCCTCCCTAGGGGACGGACAGCAGAGAAGTGGGTGAAGGGCGATGTCAAATGGATGTAAGATAGGACATCATAATAATAATTTATAAATCATCACGGGTTCATAGGGGGCGGCGGGGAGCCAGGAGGGTGGGGGGAAATGAGCTGAATATAAGGACTCAAGTAGAAAGCAAATGTTTTGAGAATGATGAGGGAAACAAATGTACAAAAGTGCTTGACACAATGGATGGATGTATGGATTGTGATAAGAGCCTCTAATAAAATGATTTTTAAAAAAGAAAGAAATTTCACCTCACCCCAAGTAGTCATTCCCAATCCTCCATATAAGCCACAGATCCTGGAAACAAGCAATGTACTTTCTGCCTCTAGGAATGTGACCATGCTGAACATTCCATATAATTACGTGGTTCTTTGTGTCTGGCTTCTTTTACTTAACATGTTTTTGGGGTTCAATCATAGTGTAGTATGAAATAATGCTTTATACCCCACCAGTTGGGGGGCGGTATGTTTTTGGTTATCCACTCATCGTTTGAATGTGCATTTGAGTTGTTTCTCTTGTAGAGCACTGGTGCTCTGAAAAGACACACACACGTTTTGTGTGGGCGTGAGTTTTCATTTCTGTGGGATGTATACTTCTGTCATCAAGTTACTTATGACTTCCAGCCACACCCTGGGTTGAGTTTCGAAGACTGTATTCTCCATGGGCACAGACAGCCTCCTCGTTCTCTCTCAAAGTAGCTGATGGGTTTGAACCATCGAGCTGCAGTAAACAGCCCATTGCTTATCCTATAGGAACCCATAGGGGTATATACATGGGAGTTTGCTGAGTTACATAGTAACTGTTGAACCATTTGAGCAACTTAACAATGTTTGTTTGTGTGTTTGTTTTTAAGGTAGATTCTCAGAATAAAAAGATTCCTATATTTGGAATAGATGTTTTGTTTAATCTTTTTTAGCCCTCTCCATCAATTTATTTTAATTATATATCAAAAACTTTAAAATATATGGGTATTTATTGATGTTTAAACTCTTGAGGAAAAAGTAGATTGTTTTAAAATAAAAATGCTCTTTTAAAAATTATGATTCCATAACTCTGCTTGCCTCACAGACATCAAAGAAATGTTCAGTTCTGACAACGATAAGTCCTTCAAGGAGGAGCCAATGGACATAGATGATGACGTGAAAGCGGAATCACCCACGCCCTGCCAGGACCTTTCTCAAGTCGACGTTGTCAACGTCAGTGAGGGCTTTCACCTGAGGACTAGTTATAAAAAGAAAATCAAATCGTCCAAACTAGATGGGCTTCTTGAAAGAAGGATCAAACAGTTTACACTGGAAGAGAAACAGCGCCTAGAGAGAATGAAATTGGAGGGGGGCATGAAGGGGGTTGGGAGGACTGGTACGGGTTCTCTGAAAAGCCTGTCTGAGTCGCCAGTGAAAACAAAAGCGAAAGAAGGGTGCGACTTGCTGAGGCAAGAACAGAGCCCCAGGACCAGTCCGGATAAAGCTGAAGAGTTGACTCGTGGGTGCTCACAGAGGGATTCCTCCATGCTTGGAATCCGTGATTTGAACCATGCGGCAGATAAGCTTTACCCAAAAGACCAAGGGCTGGATGATGTCTCCATTCAGAGCCCCAAAGCCAACTGTCAGAAACAGAATTCTCTTGGGAATGATACAGATGAGAGTCTCTCTGGCCCCTCCAGTGATGGCCAGGAGCGCAGTGGTGTGAAAACAAAGAGAAGAGACTTCCCCGCGGATGATTCAAAACTAGCCAGTGCAAATGAAATTGGCACCTTGATCTATAAGAGCAAGAAATCACTCCTGAAGGAGGCGGCTGACACCGTCGTTTGTCCTCCGGAGAGCTCTTTACTTCCATCGGTACCCAGAAGTATCAGTGACAGAGATGCCCCATCGCTGTCGAAAGCCGTCGACTTCGAAGGAAAGCTGGGGCGTGACTCGGAGGATAATAGCACTTTGGAGAACAGTTCGGACACTATGTCTGTTCACGACAGCAGTGAAGAAGACATGGTTGTTCAGAATAGCAGCGAAAGCATTTCTGAGCAGTTCATCTCTCAAGAACAAGAGGTTGGCTCACAGTCATTAAAACGTGCTCGTGATTCAGATAAATCTTCCAGAAACTGTGATGACAGGCTGCAGGCCACGGTGGCTGAAGCAAATGGTAAAAAAACAAGTCACGCACCCAAGTTAGACGAGAGACCAGTTGCCAAATGCACCGACCAAGTAAACCTGAAGAAAAATGACAGCCGAGCGTCTGAGAAGAAAGGACAGCGAGCAAGCGCATTTCAAATCAATGGCAAAGACAACACGCCTAAGGGTTATGCGAAAGGAGAATGTTTGAAAGAAATCCCTGAGGGTAAAGTGGCAAGCGGTGATGTTGAGCCAAAGGTTAATAATATAAGTAAAGCCATTCCTGAAAATGATAGCAAGTCGTTGACAGGTAAGGATTCTGCGGCGAAGCCATTCATGAATGGGGATGTCATCATGGAAGATTTTAATGAAAAAAACAACCTGGGAACAAGATCACGCTTACCGAGTGCTTCGGATGCTGAAGGCAACTTCCGAGAAAGCCTTGGGGCCCTGCCATCCACCAGAGAAGAGCCACAAACTGCCAGCCCGCCACCCCTTCACCCAGAGAGACGCTCACTCAGTGAGGTAGAAGATATGGAAATGGAACCTTCCGAAGGTAAGAAGGTCACTCCGTCACCGGTGACTTCCGGAGAGGACCCTAACCTCAGCAGTGACTTCACTGATGAAAACGGCCTGCCTGGCAACAAAGCTGGAAACGTCAATGGAGACGCCAAAAGAAAAACCGTCATCACAGAGGTCACCACTAGGACCTCAACGGTGGCCACCGAGTCCAAGACGGTGATTAAGGTCGCCAAAGGCGATAAGCAGACGGTGGTCTCTTCCACAGAAAATTGTGCCAAGTCTACTGTCACCACCACCACCACCACGGTGACCAAGCTCTCCACGCCGTCCACCGACAGCTGCGTGGACATCATCTCCGTAAAGGAGCAGAGCAAGACCGTGGTGACCACAACCATGACGGACGCCCTGACCACGGCGGGAGGCACTCTGGTAACATCCATGACTGTGAGCAAAGAGTATTCCACAAGAGACAAAGTGAAGCTGATGAAATTTTCCAGACCCAAGAAGACACGCTCAGGTACAGCTCTGCCGTCCTATAGAAAGTTCGTTACTAAGAGCAGCAAGAAGAGCATCTTTGTCTTACCGAATGATGACTTACAAAAGTTGGCCCGAAAAGGAGGAATCCGAGAAGTCCCTTACTTTAATTACAACGCAAAGCCTGCCTTGGATATATGGCCATATCCTTCTCCCAGACCAACCTTCGGTATCACGTGGAGGTATGTACTTTAAGATGTCTTTGGGGAAGGGAGAACGTTGTCAGAGAATTGTCTGACAAGAGCCTCTTCGATTTTTAAGAAAGCTCCAAGATGAGACAAGCGGGATGTGTTCACTGGCCCAAGTGAGCCATAGACATGAGATACAGAAAACTTGGTGCCTGGCCAGCTGAGAGATACTAAAGTTAACAGATGGGGGGAAATTGTACAGAATCTTTTAAAATGAAACTCCTTTTTCGTCTTCACAAGGCAAAAGCAACGTGCCAATGGTGGTTGAATCTGTGGTCTTACTGTCCAAGTTATGGCCATGAGCTTGCTCTGGGGACAAGCTCTGTACAGAAGTAGGTACTTAGCTCTGCGAGGTCATTCCTAAAATGCAAGGCATACCTATAAAGTCCAGGTTTTTATTTTTCGTGTATGCGTGGTCAGCGTGCAAGTTGGAATTCTCCGTCAGTCCTGTGTGTAAAGGTAGTCCCTAAGATTCCTTCTGACCTGTTCAGCAAAGTAGTAATTTAAAATGCATCCTAAGTTGTGGGAATGAGTCATAATAAGCCTGTCTTGTAAGTGGTCATGAAAGCATTTTGGGAAGGGATTTTCGCAGTGATCTCTGATAGATAGAACTAGCGCCCCTGGCCACATGAACGACAAGGTTAAGCATACAGAGTGCCCAGTTTTCCTATATCCCAGGCTACTGGGTTTTCTGCTCATTTGTCCCTTCTGTTTCTTTTTTCTTGTCCTTGTCTTTTTAGCTTTACCACTTTATCATTAGAGGGCTAGAGACACAGAACCTGGGACTATACCTCATCTTTTGATTTGACTTAAAAGGTCATCACGCCATTACACGTGCCCTAATAGAGACAGCTGAAAAATCCACTTTCTCTGCAGGGCCTGCAATGAGGGATTTGCAGAATCCTGCAGGGGATCAAGGGATTCTTCACTACAGTTCATGGATCTATAGGGTTGCTCTGCACTTGTCTGCTTTCTTCATTGAGAGTGGTCCCCAAATGTGTCCTTGACTGTCCTGCAGGTCACTTCTTTCCCACTGGAAAGGTTACTGTGTACAGACCCTCTGATGAAAGTACCCTGGCAGCTTGGAGGCTGCCCTTTCTCTGCCCCTCTCTGTTCTGAAGCAGGAGGTGGCAGCAACCAGGAAGCCCTTTTCTCTCAAGTACAACTAGTCACCAGGCTGACCAGGGGCTGCTCAGGGTTGTGGTTTAACATGCACGGTGGGTGCCCGGGTATCTTATCAGGTCCCTCCTCGTTTTAGAAGGAAATGCCTCTGGTTTTAAGCTGCTGTCACTTTCATGGAGATGAAAGTATTTGTGGAACTTGAGAAAAAGAAAAATACTGTTCTTTCTTTGAGTGGAGGCAGGGGTAAATATGGAAATGATTCTTGACTTTAGAATGTCTTTTTGAAAAAGCAGACCGCCATAAAAAGCATGCCCGCGAAGCGCATTTGAATTCTCCCACTTGAAGAAAATATATCTGATGCCTTAGAGTAGGCACTAAAATGCCCCCAGAAAGGGTCTGGGTTCAGTGCCTGTTCAGCATGCCCCAGACTCCCTCTGGCTACCGCCTCCTCCACGCAGCCTTCTCCCCAGGCCCTGGAGCCCCTGTCTCCTGTCTCTTTGCACTCTTCGTTGCTCATCACAGTGCAGCAGGAGGAGCTAGCTAAGCACCCACGTGAAGGGCGCCTGGGCACTACTGCCAGGAGGCAGGCAGGGGGACAGCAGATCACATCTATGAGGAGGCCTGCCTGTCCCGGCCCCTCGACTGACGACTGGATGCAGTTCCGAAGCCTTGGTGCTGCACCCTCTGGCTTCTACCTTCTTTGCTGCCAGCTGCCCCCCCACAGTCCTCTTGTTCGGCCATCCCACACTGGGTGAGGCTTCTGGAAGATGGGCACACTCCTGCATACCTTCCTTCCTTGGCCTGTGTGTGCCCCTGGACATGGGGCAGCTGCCCCTACTTCCTGAACTTGTCCTTTGAAACCCCAGCAAAGCCCACCCACTCCCCGAGCCAGCCTCTGGTCTACCTTCTCTTAGAGCCCCGGGAGATCATGGAGGGACATGCTAGGTCACTTCTGGACCTCCTTCTCCATCACACATCTCATTCATGTATGAGGGGCAGGGGCTTCAAAAGTTAGTGGCAAATAGAATTAAATAAGGGAATTTGCCCACAAACTTTTGGAAGCCCCCTCATGTATGCAAATACGATTGTATGAAAGTCTCATAAATATTCTTGAATGGATGTGTAAATTAGTAAGTAATGCGTGGGGGCTTCCTCCCTGAGTGCTGGTAAATCCAGAATGCTTTTAAGTTGCCATTTGATGAGAGATGGGAAGGGTGAGCTTCCCTTGACAAATGCATTTCTCTCCTCTTTTTTAAAAAAAGTTTTATTGACACATAATGTACATATCCTAAAACTGACTCCTTCAAGCATATCAAGGAGAGTCATGTAATCATTACCATATCAATTTTAGAACACCCGCCCCGCCTCCAGTGGCTATCATTTGCTTTCTCCGCCAGCCCTGAATGCCCTGGGCACTTGTGTCGGATGTGATCTGCAAGTAACAATACACTTTCTCCCCGTGGAACCTCCCCTTCCCCCCCTCCCACGAGAGCTGGGGAGTTAGGAAACTCCACCATCGGAGCTAGCGTTCCCCCTCTCTCCCATTTATTTCCACCTCAGTGTGAAGCGGAACAAGCATTGCCTTCTAAATACAAACTTAGCTAAGACTGGCTGCCTTCTGTTGAAGAAGAGGAATTACTTTTTGTTGTTGACAGACTTTTTTTCTTTACTCCACAGTCAGTACTTAGCACTGAGACCGCTGAGAGCGGGAGGGCAGGGCGCCTCTGAGACGGGCTGGTGTTTCCCTGTTACTGTTCAAAGCCTGGGAGAGGTCACTCAGCAAGCCCTCTGCTTAGCCAGACCCCTGAACTCCAGGGTTGGCCGCCTCCTGGTTAGGGCAGTGGTAGCCCGTTGGCAGCGCCGTGTTGCTATGACACTAGCCTAGCCAACAGTATTAGCGGGCTTTCCCCCTCCTGCAGTTCGCATTGTAGGGAACCACCATTTGGATACAAAACGTCCTGTATTTGGAAAGGTTTTAGTGGATTTTCAAGCTCTTGCTGTTTGTTGTGGTTTTGCGATCATGTAAACTTTTTCTAGGTTTTCCGTTTGTATGTTCCAGTAAGTGAGGAGTTTACCCTTCTACAAACACCCCATCATAATTACCCCATTTCTCTGTAATTGCACTTTTTCGTCATTTTTTCGGCCAATAATTGGGAATTAGGTTAAGCTTATTGAAGTCTCAAATTACTAGGCTATTAGTCTTTCCACACAGCATGAGCATTTTCTAAATTCATGTGGCATCTGAAGGGGCTCCAGGCCCTTTTGAGGTGGCCAGGTGCCGGTCACACCTGTGAACAGAACAGTTTGGCGTCGGGGGTGTGTGATCAGGGCCAGGGACATACAGAGCCATGCCACCTTCACTCGGGTGCTCTGAGGACAGACGTGCAGTCCCTGAGGGTTTTATAATGGACACCTGTGATTTCTCCGGGGTTTTTCCTTCAGGTACAGGCTCCAGACCGTGAAGTCCTTGGCGGGAGTGAGCCTCATGCTCCGGTTACTGTGGGCAAGTCTGAGATGGGATGACATGGCGGCCAAGGCTCCTCCTGGGGGCGGGACCACACGGACAGGTACGGCCTCCTCCAATTCTCATCAAGGTCCCTTCAAAAGCTAAAACCGCCTGACTCTCTAACATAGCCACTGCTTATTAAAATAAAGGCTGTCTTAGAAATACAGCTTGGCTGGAGTGAGTTGGGTGTGGCGTGCCATCAGATCGGTGGGGGGGTGGGGACAGGACAGGACTGATGGGAGTGCAGATTCTACAGGGAATCATTTAGTGCAGCCCAGCCCCCATCGGTGTTTATGAGACCTTTGTGAGTGGATCCCTGAAACCGGGGCACGTGGGATTCAGGTTGCTGCTTCCCTCGCAGGGTGTTGGTGTTTCTGCTGACTCAGACCTCAGCTGTCCCCGCTCAGCGTCTTGTGCACATGAGGCATGCCGAAGGGGCAGGCAGCAGTGTTGCCCTGGTCACCTCTTTCCAGAGGTGTAGTTCCTGTACATCTCTTCAAGCAAGAGCTGCCGTGCCCTTTTCAGTCCTTGAGTGTTTGGGGTTGTTATTAACATTATGTGAATTTAATCACCATAGAAACATCTGAAACGGAAATCACAACAACAGAAATAATTAAGAGACGAGATGTTGGCCCTTACGGCATTCGATCTGAATATTGCATCAGGAAGATCATCTGTCCCATCGGCGTTCCAGAAGCGCCCAAAGGTAAGTGATCGAGTGGATTCTAGTACTTTGCTACTGACCCGATCACCCCAGCTGTTATGAGTGGAAATGTTACTCCTTTAACCCTATTTCCATTTCTGAAGAGATGCTTTTTGATTATAAACTACCATCAAATAAAAATTACCTTCAAATACAAATAAGTCAAGACTCACTGCCATTGATTGAGTCCATTACAACTCACAGCAAGCTCCTAGGACAGAGAAGAACTGCCCCTTCGCATTCCCAAGCCTGTAGATCTTTAAAGGAACAGAAAGCCGCCTCTTTCTCCTGCTGAGGGTCTGGTGGCTTCGAACTGCTGACATTGCAGTTAACAGCCTAACACGTAACCCACTACGTCACCAGGCTCCTTTGAAGACTGCATAGGCATTTATGTATGATGCCTTGCGGTGTTGTACCAAGTCAGGGTGGGCACAGAGAGCTATAATAATACACATATCTTTGGTAATTTATCTGGCTCGGTCACTGAATGAGGCCAGCAGCTCTAAGAGCAGTCACGCTGTCTGTGGCTCATTTTATGGGGCTTAGAGTGACACAGAAGGACTCGCTGGGTAAAGCAGTAGTGTAGTTCCTCAGAACCCAGGGTGGCAGGCATCTCAGAGACAGACAGGCCTTAAGAGAACCCCTCAGGCATAGGCTCCGAGTGGCAGATACTTAGAAGATGATCCACCTGGAGTCTTTAAGGAAGTAAAGACGATCCGGAGCAGAAAATGATAAGGAGGATGAGTACGTGGTCAGTATTGGCAAGGGAGCAAGGTTAAAACTATTTTGCACATAATTACAAGTGTCTAGGAATTTTTTAAAAATCAGAACTGCTCATACTAGAAAGAGTTCAATAAGGTATGCAGATTCGAGATACATAAATATTATAGAAGTTGGTCGTTGTGCTTTGTATGAGCAATTTTTAACTTTAGCTCCTCCAAAGGATGAAGAAACACGCCCAAAGAAAGTGAGTCTTAGAAACCTACTGCTTTTCCCCCCTACTGCTTTAAAGAAGTTAATGCACCCCAGAGCTAATCAGTTTCTTTCTTTTTTTTTTTTTTTTAATCAAGTTAACCCGAAAATTCATCTTGAAGAATAAATAAGTAAATAGCCTCTTTGGAAAGAATTTCACCAGTGGGTACTTGTCCCCATAGATGATGTCATTTCAGGACAGCTCCAGGAGGGTCCTGGCGCAGTTGCTAGGCAAAGCCCCAGTTGAGAGAAGGAGTTCTGAGCGCCCAGCCTTCGGGGCAAATGACTGCAGGCTCCTTGAATTCCTTTTCTTCGACCTCTGTCACTGTGTCCACCCAGGTCCCACGCCGCTGCTGCTTCTCCAGGCCCTGCACAGAGAGGAATGTTGCGTGCTTCAACTTCATTATGAGATTTTATCTAGTCATACCTGCCTCTGGTCTCACAGAAAAAGTCAATTCCCTTCTAATGCCATTTTTCTTCACATACCCTTTGAGATCCCCCTCACGTGCTGATGACTCGGATCGCCTTCGCCATGTGGGGCAGGGAAGCACACGCCAGTTGCTGTCATCACACTTGGCCAGGCATCCGCCATGCTTCTTGAAAGGAGTTGTATCGCAGCTGCCTCTGAAGGGTGGATAGGTGTGAGTTGAGTGAGACGGAGGCAAGGGAGCTCAGCAAGAGTGTTCCAGCCAGAGCAACAGGCTCGGAAGCCGGTGGGCAGAGCTTGGTGCTCTGGATGTGCTTTAGAAAGTAGGGCTTGATTGGAACGCAACCACACTTCATCATTTAAATGTGGTCTTGCACCTTTTACAGTATCAGCGCAGAGTTGGATATTCTAACCCACAACTTCTAAAACATAGGACCCTACAAGAAGGAGCCTGGTGGTACAGTGGTTAAGCATGTGACTTTTAACTGGAGTAAAACCTACCATCCTGAGGGAGAAGAGTGGGCAGACTGCTTCTACAACGATTGACAGCTTGGGAAACCCTAGGGGGCAGCACTACTCTGTCCTATGGCATCATTATGCGGCCAAGTGGACTCGCTGACCATGGCCTGGGTTTAGTTTGGGTCCTGGTATGGGAAGAGATCCTGGAAGTACTCTTAATTTTAGAAGTTGTGCTACTTCAAATACTCATGATTTCTTTTCCAAAGAAACACCTACCCCTCAGAGGAAAGGCCTTCGATCGAGTGCACTGCGACCAAAGAGACCGGAAACGCCCAAGCAGACTGGCCCTGTTATCACTGAAACGTGGGTAGCAGAAGAAGAGTTGGAATTATGGGAGATCAGGGCATTTGCTGAGAGGTGAGGAAGATGATTACCACATGATCTAGCTGTGGGGAGAGTTTTATCCCTTCAGAATTAGAGAATTACCACTCTGATAACACAATTGCATCAATGTGTGCTAGTACATTGATAAGAGTATAAATGAATTTCATTATGTCCTATTTAATTTTACTTTACCTTTTGATTTTAAGTGCTTGATGTGTGTGTGTGTAGATATAGATATATAGTTTATTAAGATCCATGTTCTAATTTTTGATGTGTTGCTATTTGTCCTTACCTAATGATCTTAATTTCTTATTGAAGCAAAATAACTGGCTACCTGTGCTCGATGTGACCGCTGTCAGCCAGGTTTCGTTTCCGTCCATCAGAAGCCCTATCTGATCTGTTTCTCCTTTGTGCCCCGCAGAGTGGAGAAAGAAAAGGCCCAGGCAGTTGAGCAACAGGCTAAGGTTAGTGAACAGAAGAAAGCAGAGGACTCCCAGGCCCCAGTGGAGGTGCAGCTAAAACAGCAGCTAGTGGCTGCCCAGCAGGTGGGGGATTTGGTACGAGTCCCACCTGGCAACAAATTTACATTGTTGGCCAAATTCATGCACACCAAAGCATGTGAATTGTGTGTGTGCATGCCTGTGTGTGTATTTGTGTGTGTGGTAAGTATATCAGTACCCAGACATTTGCCACATCTACTATCTCCTGTTGTCCAGTTGAGTGATGTGGGTCACCACCATCCTGCTGTTCACCCATCACTGTATAATCTACGTGGCTCCTTCTCATTAATTGAAACTAGCTCTCTGGATACACAAAGCGGAGGCTTTGCAGAACGTATACAGTTTTGGAAAGATCCCTCTTATTCTCTTCCTCATTCACAGGATATTTCCTGAAAATAAATTTTCCCTGCCAAATTTCCAACTAGAAAAACTATAATCTATAAAAAGGTAAATTGCACATAAGATGCTATGAGAGTTTATTGTAATTGATCATAAAGCTATTGATGGTTTCTTACCCTGTCCAAATTCCATTATTAGAAGAGACCACGATCAGTCAGGCATAATGAGATGAAATTTCCAGCAGAAAGTTGGTGTCCTGAGCGTCTTTCATATTTCATAAGTCAGATATCGAACTTTCTTTTGGCGGCGGCTTTTTTTTTTTTATTGTCTTGCTTTCACATACTTACCATCTCCTTAAAACTATTCTGAATGTAAATAATATAAATGCTTCAATATTAGGACCCAAATCACAGGTGCTCACGCCTTTTGTCACTGGGATAGCAGATGCTGCAGGAGTTTCTAATCAACTTGGATATGTAAACTTCTGGAACACAGATGAAAGTAGATAGATAATGATTTCTGATGTTGGCATAGATACATATAACACTTAAAAATCCCATATAAATGAAAGTATTCGTTTCAATCTACTTTTTCTCCTCACGCTTTTAGAACACTCGTTTTCCCTCCCAGTGCTTAGTGATCTCTGACCTCAGTGTGCTGCTTATTATCTTCATTTACGTCACAGTTGTTTGAGTTCAGGCACCTTGGGCGGAATGGACTGCTTTGGAAATGTATCCCAAAGCACAAGTATCAATCGATCAGGCATCAATCAGCTATTTGTTTTGTTTTTCATCTTATGGGTGTAATTTTCTTCCCTACAACGTACCCAAATAATCTGTTGCTTTTTAAACTTTCTTTGAAAAGGCTTATTTCTAAAGATATCCAACTACTGAGTGTTTGCAGGTCACTTGCCTCCTTTTTCTCCTGATTCAGTCAGATGACGTGTCTAAACATCCGAAAGAAACTCCCTCTCTTCTGAGGCATCGTTAGGTGAAATGCCTCATTGGGCTCGACATCATTCCTGGTCCAGTTTCAATGACAGGAGACAACTGAGCACGTTCCAACTCTTACCACTAACGAGCTCTGTGCCCTGGGCCAAATTAAAGCTCTCTCAGCCACAGTTTCCTGATTTTAAAGTGGCCCTAAAGTGCCAGCCACCTCATTGGGTTGGTCTGAGCATTAAATAAGGGAGGCAGGTACAACATCTGCCCCACATCTGCAGTAAATTCTACCTCTTGCTTTCATCAGAACCATCATTGAGAAGGTGTCAGAAAACCCCCACTATCCATAAGAAAAAGACATGCAAATGATCTTTAATAAGCACACAGTCTGAAAGGTGTTTGAACTAAGGCGCCTAATCGGCCTAGAGATACTGTGTGAGCCTTCTGCCCAGCTGACTGCCTCGCCGGGCTGCTAACTTGACTAGCGATACCCTCCTGTGGCTCGTCCTTCATGGCTGCATAACCCAGCGCTGGAGGATAACCGACATCCTTTGCTGTCTGCTGTAAATCCGCCCCCGCCCCCGCCCCCGCCGTACCCTGCTAAGCAGCAAGCCATGCGGCTCCAGTCAGAGTGCCCACACCTCTTTTTTCCAGGCTGAAAGCCTGGGTGTTGGCACAGGATGGGAAAGCAGGTGAGGTCACTCTGGCTGTTGCCCACAACTTCGTACCTTAATTAAAATAGACATGGGTGTAAAGCCTTACTACTTAGCTTTCATCAAGATATTACACTCCAATGGTCAGCTTCAGGGGTATTTTAGACATTTAGTGTAAGCAGCTTCTTCGCGCAAAAGAAATGACTGGCCTTCATGTTGGAACTGTGTGGGTCTCATTGAGAACTGCTTTGGGTCACGGCTTCTCTTCCCTGACTTTTCTAGAGACGCCTGGAGCAGCAGAAACCGATGGTCATTGCCACTTCCGCCACTGCCCCGTCTAACAGTACAGCCAGCATCATCTCGCCAGCCCCAAAAGTGATGGTGGCCCCGCTAAGTGGCGCTGTGACCCCTGGAGCTAAAATGGTTCTGACTACTAAAGTCGGCTCTCCAGCGACCGTAACATTCCAGCAAAGCAAGAACTTCCACCAGACCTTTGCTACGTGGGTTAAGCAAGGCCAGTCAAATTCAGGTACACGGCCGTGGGGTAACACAAGGTTGCCTTTCATTCAAGAAAAGAGACATTTCAATCCTTTGCCGCCTGAAACGAACCCTGTCTTTAGAATGTTGTGTTTCCTCCGCAGCTGCCTGGGCAAACAAGCCGTAGCAGCTGGTTTGTGCTCAATGGTATTCATGCTAGTCCATCTGCAAAACCCCCCTTCACATCATTTCACTTGCAACATTTACATCGGTCACAGGGTTTGAGTGGAAGGAATGTTTTCTTGAAAGTGCAAAGATGAGCCACATTTCATGCATTGGTGCCCGCCTAGAAGCCACAACGTTGCTGGTTCCTTTAAATCTAAAGCTTACGCCATGTCTTATACCCCATTAGCCACCAGCACAGCGGCCACAGCTGCTCCAACCATTGCCAGCACAGGTCAGACGTTCCAAATTGCAGGCAACCCAGTCACTATGGCAGGAAAAGTAATTACCAAACTGCCACTTCCTGCTGACAGCAAGATTGTCGCTGTAAATGTGCCAGCAACGCAAGGAGGTAAGGGAACGGGAGGAGTTGTGATTCACATGTGCCAGCTCGTACTGTTGCCATTATTTTTCATTTCCTTTCCACCGGTTTCAGTCCTTAGATCTCTCTCACATTCTCTGTAGTCCGCTCTAAAACCCTGCCACACGTAGTCTCGCCTCCGAAACCAAGCCACATGGATGCTCTCAATTGAGGGGCGGGTTAGTAACCAGCCCTTCTTCTTTGTTCAAGGTGTCGTTCAAGTCCAGCAGAAAGTCCTGGGGATCATTCCATCCAGTACAGGTGCAAGCCAGCAAACCTTCACTTCATTCCAACCCAGAGCAGCCACCGTCACCGTTCGACCCAACACCTCGGCCTCCGGGGGAACCCCCGGCACGTCCCAAGTAAGGACTCGACCCTGGTTGCCTTTCGAGCTCTTGAGCACGTAGATCCCAGCCTCTCTCTCAATGTTTCTAGCGGTTTATATAATCCGTGACTAAGTGCTGATTTGAAAACCATCTTAGTTGTAATACTTCTGATGAGTGAAAAACGATATGTGAACTCTCTGTCGCTGACTTTTAGCCAGTAGCAGTGAGGTATGATTAACGAATAGTAAGAACTGCTTGATAGAATGTTTAGAAAGGACGCTGTATTTCAGTAACAGTGGACGGCGCTGGCCCACCCAAGGAAACGTGCTGTGCAGCCTAGTCAGGAGACAGAATGGCTACTGCAACCGTGGTGTGGTCCAACCAGTGTGTCCCCTATAACACGACAACCAGTATATTAGCTAGCTGGTCTGTCAACCTTCCTAATGCCACGACTTTTGATACAGGTCCTCATGGTGGTGACCCCCACCCCCAACTATAACTTTATTTTCGTTGCTACTTCACTGTAATTTTGCTGCTGTGATGAATTGGGCGACCCCTATGAAAGGATCATTCGGCCCCCAAGGGGGTCGCGACCCACAGGTTGAGAACCACTGTGTTAGATCCATCATCTCTCTCTCTCTGGCTCTGGTCTTAAGGGAAAGGTCTAATGTGCTGGCTTGCAAATTGTTTGAACCTAAACATAGAACAGAAAGTAATGTGCTCTGCATTTTCCCTTTTAAAGCTGAAAAGGCTCCTTTGATCTCTGATCGCCCTCCTCTCTTCTCTGAGCAAGAGCCCAGGCGTGGAGCTACGAGCAAACGAGACTTGGTGACCACCTGAGACACTCGTGGTGGTTTCAGGCAGGCCCTCGCCGAGTTTTCGTCTTTTCCTTTAGGGTGAAGGCTATTTTTGGTATCAGGAGTGTATAGGTTTGTGGGATCCCATCTAAACTACATATTCACCTCCCAAACTCATCTTTTATTCTGATAGACTCTTAATAGACTCTAAAGTGCAGTGGCCAAGAGGGTTTGTCCTGTCTATTTGTTATGATCAAATGTAGTCCCATCTTATATTTGAAGTCATCCTGCATTAGTCTTTTAAAAATAGTTTAAATCACTGTCCTTCGTATTGATTTCTAGGTCATCACAGGGCCCCAGATCCGCCCTGGCATGACAGTGATCAGAACCCCACTCCAACAGTCAACCCTGGGAAAGGCGATTATTCGGACACCTGTGATGGTGCAGCCAGGTAATCACCCACCCACCCAGTATTGTCAGCTTTCCTAGACAAGACCCATTCGGGACACCTCTCAGACTTCATTTGGCACGTTAAATACTGAAAAATGGCTACTCTGAGCACACTAACATTTCTAATCCATTGGTGGGATGCATCCAGACATAAACATATGTACATATGGGATCATTCAAATGACCATTGGTGAAAACCATTGTGTCTGATACACAGCAACCCTGTGTGTGTCAGAGTAGACCTGGGGTGCCCTGGGTGGACTCAAACCTCCTCAGCCTTTTTGTTGGCAATGGTGATCCTGATAGTCACCTGAAGTGTTAACTTTTTAGCATCGTTCCTCAAACTGTTTGCACTGCAAAGACATTGAGCAGGGGTCCAAAAGTTCTCCCAGTAGACACTGGACGGAAGAGAATAATCAAGAAGCAGAGGTGATGGAACACTAGTCCCGGCAGGTGTGAGAGCGTATTCTAACGTCACCAGAATGGGGAAGGTGTTACCGAAGGAGGCTGGCAGGCAGGAGCAAAGGGCCACTGGAGCCGCCCCGCGGTGGCAGAAAGAGGAGCCTCTCTGCCCCTGTCAAGATTTGCCAATCAGAAACCCAAAGAAGCCGGAATTGGCTCCATGGCAGTAGGGTTCTGTGTGAAAATGTGCTACTCGATGACACACAGGTGTCCTTGACTCTGAAAGGAAGGATCGGAGTCCTTAGTAAGTGACACTCAGCTGGTTTATAGCTTAGGGGAACCGTAGTCCTGGGCCTAGCCCGACGGAGAGCCTCTGTGCATATTTGGGAGGATGTGTGATTGCCAAGGAATTAAAATCGACACGAATGAAAGCTACAACATTTTCTAAAAGCACAAAAATAGATTGGCCACATGTAAAATAAAAAGACAGTTGATAAGTTTAAAGGTAAGATGGCAAGATGAGGGGAAAGCATATTTGCACTTTATCTCTTTAATCGATACAGAGCAGTTGGAAGACAGTAAATAGGGAAAAGGAGAACCAGCCTCTTCCTAAGGCCTGGTCAAGGAAGATGGACACCTGATGAATGAAGAAGCACAAAGGACTGGACGGAGTTGGGGTCCTGGCCTCCGCCGTGGCTGGAGAAAGGCCGGATCCAGAGCAGCATGTTGACCACCCCAAGGGCCGGGCCGGCTCCTTGACTCCGGGGAGGCGTCTACGGGGAGCTGTCCTGCTTCAGTGAAACAAGCACTCGGTGGGAGGCTTGTGAATGAGCTTAGCCTTTCTAGAGTTCCAGCGAGTGCTCTGCCTCCTGAACCCAGTAATACAGGGCGGGCTGGTACTCGGAGGAAATAATCCGAAGCACACAAAGGCCTCTGAGCATGGAATTTATGATGGCATTATGTAAGCGCCACGGTGGTGCAGTGGTGACATACTCCATGGCTTACCAGATGGTCAGCAGTTGGAACCGACCAGCCACTCCAGGAAGCACGCTGTGGCAGTTGACTTCCATAGGGAGAGCAGCCTTGGGAAGCCTGGGTGAAGGTTGTCCCCTGTCCTACCGAGTCCTTGGGGACTGGAATGAAATTGACAGTGGGCATTGGATGCTAACTAATAAGGGAAGTAATCTGAATAAAAGATACAAATATTTTTCCCCCAGAAGAGGAATGAGTAAATATGAAGAAATTTGATCTTATTTACTAATAATGTGAATATTAGTAATTTTTAACAGGAAATTATAAATGTACAATAATTACAAACTATCAAATACTTATTCTTCCATCCTTCTGCCAGTAGCGTATTCTTCAAGTCCCGGTGGATTAAAGGAGAACCTCGGGTTTTTAGAAGAGAACAGTTCCGGTCCAGTTCAACTTCATTCAGCACAGACACTTTCCGGGCAACTACTTTGCCGTTGATTTTAAAGATATAGTAGTTCTTGCCCTTAAAATTCACCTAAACTATTTGTCACAGTAGCTTTAAGAGAAACTCATTTGGCCTAGGATAGTCTCAAGTTATATTCCTCAGGAAAAGCAGCCTTAACAATGGCGTATTTTACCTATTATCATTTTGGCTTTCGACTCAAGGAGAAGGTTATTTTATTTTATTTTTTGGTCGCTCTACTTCAGAGAAAGGAACTGCTGAACCATGGTTGTCAGTGAGTCGAATGAAGCAAACACATTAACAATGTGGTGGTCCTTTGGGTGGGGCTCTATGTCTAAATGCATATGTGGACACTCAGCATCACGTCAGTCTTATAAAAAGAGTACGTTTACCCAGCGTGTGAATTCGCTGCAAATCACAGCAATGTTCCGCCACACCGGCCTTCTCTTTGCACAGGCACGCCTCAACAAGTGGTGACTCAGATTATCAGAGGGCAGCCCGTGTCTACCGCCGTCTCCTCCCAAAATGCTGTTTCCACAACCCCTGGGCAGAAAGGACTAACTCCTGGCACACCCACTGCAAACCTACCGCCCCCTGCCGCACAGCCCCCTCGCCCCCAGCAAGGACAAGTGAAGCTCACCATGGCTCAGCTCACCCAGTTAACACAGGGCCACGTAAGTACTGGTGACCCCCCATCCCATCCCCGTTTTAGAAGTGGCTGTGTATGCTTGCTCTGAGTGTGAATCACGTACTTACTTTGCCGAGCTGAAAGGTGTTCTTGTTTTACAAAGCGGTGGTTTTGTGGAGCCCCCGCAGGGAGGAGATGGCACACCCATTGTCAAGTATCCTTTAGGCAACGCGCAGCCAGGGAGATGCAAATCATTTCACTACGGAAATGTCCTAGTGTTCCACGCGGAAAATGAAATTGGAATATATTAAACCATTTCCTTGCAAGACTCAGTATTATAAAATTCTTCCATTATTGATGAGTGGGTGCGATTCCAATAGAAATAAAATCAGTGGAAAGTGTTAGTGTGTGTGTAACCTGACAAACTTATTAACAGTGGGTGGAAGGGTTTGCCTTATATGATAAGCCGATGTCAGAACTTAGGATGCTACACTAACTAATAACAGATAGGAACAAACTCCAGGAGAGACAGTCCAGTGGGACGGTCAGTTGTGCAGAAAGTGAGCCCTCTGGAAGGGTAGCCTTGCTCACTCGTTCTGGGCGCTGGTTAGAGCGTACCAACACCTCACTGTGTGCATAGACTCGTCTGGAATGAAAGGCTTACCTGGTCTTTCAAATGGCTCCTGTCAATTCCGTCCCATGTAGGGAGCTAGTCAAGGGAGGAAGAGGAGGCTGGCTTCTAAGAAGATTTACTGGTACTCGGAGGAAATAATCCGAAGCACACAAAGGCCTCTGAGCATGGATTTTATGATGGCATTATGTAAGCCATCATACATAAGGGCAGCTCTCCTCCTTCCTCTGAGGAGTTCTCCGTGCGTCAGGGTTGACACCACCACCCCCTCCCGGCAGTGAGTTGGAGCAGGTACTAAGGAAAGAGTTGTTTGGAAGACCCTTTGAAAAGCCAAGCACTGCTCCGTTTTCTTATGAATCAAGGAGATGCGTGTTGATATCATATACCTAAGAGCTTGGGATAAACTAAAGCTGTCTGGTTAAACACGAGTTCACAAGGGCGTGGAGCAGAATGCACTCAAACCTACTCTGATGGTAGGAACAGACCAGGGTGAGTCAAAAGTATTGCCACAAACCTCCTAGTTCATACACTCATGGATTCGTTCCCCACAAAGTGTGTTTGAATGAATCTCTGCGATCAGTGGGTGGCTGCAGACAAGTCCTCTCATTAATTCTCTTGTCTTCGTCTCAATAGCGTGACCCCCTCTGACAAACACACACACACCCCTAAAGAAAGAAAAATCCAGTCAAAACAGTGGCTTCCAAGGGGTCTGCTGAGAGGTCAAGGCAGAGAGCTAAACAGCACAAGTGAGAAAAGGGCCAGGGAAGTCGGGCCCAGTCCTTTTCCTATCCCTGTAGTGCACTTGCTGCTGCTGCTTCAGTGTAACAAGGGGCTGTCCTGTGAGGATTTTGTTGGGAAACTTCAGCCCGCCCACCCTACAGCCTTAACCTTGCACTTGAAAACGGCTTTTTGTTCCACAAATTCATAGAACATTTCAAAGGAACAGGAGCCCTGGTGGCACAGTGGCTATGAGTTGGGCTGCTAACCACAGAGTCAGCAGTTTGAAACCACCAGCCGCTCCTCAGGAGGGTCACCATCTGAGTCCTCCGAGGGAACGAAAGCTGCTGTTTGATATGGTGTGGACTGAAGAGTGCAGGCTCCTTGCGGAAGGGTTAGAGAGCTGGAAACACTGCCTTCAGCAGTGTATAGGCCTAGATGGAGGCGACGTCAAGAAACACTGGCTTCACATTTTGTCATTTTTTTATTCAGAAGGGTTCTATGGTTTTTGGTGCAGCCACTTTGGCAAACTCCTGAGCCTTCCTGAGGAAAGCTGAAGATGTGTGTAGCCGGGGCCTGCGGGGGTCCTCGCTCAAGAGCTGTTCCCTCTAGAGTTCACGTGGGCACCAGAGTACGAAGGGGCTCCACAAAGTTCATGAGAAAATGGAGCTGAAAGATCATGGAGATTTTCCACGGACTTTCTGAAGCCCCTCCATGTGCATGAGTCTTTGTAGCAACAGTGTGCACAGGAGCCCCTGACTGGGAGCAACTGAGACTGCACTCAATTAGGTAAACAAAGGGTTAGATTCCTGTACTAACAAAAACAGGGGAACTACCGCTACCCTAACTGCATAGCTGGACCCCACAGATGGAATGTTGAAGTAAAGAAACTGATGATGCCGCTGAGATGGGGCGGTGCAGTGTTTGTACACAAGCCGCGTGACAAAGGAGGCTTTCTACTCCTGTAAAGAGTTACAGCTCCGGAAACTCACAGGGGCAGCGTGACTCGGTGGCAGGGAGTCTTGAGTTGGATTTTGCCATAGACTCTTAGTGCATATTTTTATTATGTCAATGGATCCTTTCAATGTAAGCAGTGTTTAATCTGATTGATGTTTTCAACACTTTTTCCTTGGTGGTATGTTTTTCCCACAGGGTGGCAATCAAGGCTTGACAGTAGTCATTCAAGGGCAAGGGCAGACCACTGGTCAGTTGCAGCTGATCCCTTCTGGGGTGGCAGTGCTTCCAGGCCCAGGCCAGCAGCTCATGCAGGCCGCGATGCCAAATGGTACTGTCCAGCGGTTCCTCTTCACCCCTTTGACCACAGCAGCCACCACCGCCAGCACCACAACCACCGTCTCCACTGCCACCGCAGGTAGAACTCGGGGTCTGTGATTCGCGCAGGGTGGCGGTCTCTTCAATGTTGGACTAACAGAGGAGACAGAGGGGACAAGTGCTTGTCTTTGGGAGCCTCGAAATAACTCAGGTGGTCTGGTGGCTCCTCCTTAAGAGAACCTCCATCACTACCATCATGGGGGCGGGAGGGGGGCAGGTCCTGGGTATTCTCGGCACCACCTGCCCGGTACTCCCTGCCAAACCATGGTGCCACTGATAAGGGATTGAGAGCTCCCGAACCAGAACCTCTGTGTTCACCTCCTAACGCACCCAGTTGCTCACTGCCCACCATCGCCAAACCTTAAGAAGAAGATGAGGGTCGCCATTAGCCTGGGCCAGAAGTTACACCCTGCTGTGGAAGCCAACCTCCTGCGAGCCTTGGAGGATCAGTACAGTGTGCAGAGGACAGAACGGTTCCTCTGAGTCTTTTACCATGGTCTCACGGTTGTCGAGTAACGGGAATGTTTGATCTTTCCTCCTCACAGGCACGAGTGAGCAGAGACAGAGTAAATTATCACCCCAGACACAGGTGCCACCGGCTAAAGCCCTGCCACCGGCTCAGCCCTCCAGTGGGAGTCTTCCGGAGGCCCTGCCACAGGCTGCGCAGGCTGCAGCCCAGCCCTTGCCCCCAGCCCAGCCCTTGTCCCCAACTCAGCCTGAAGTTCAGACTCAGCCTGAAGTTCAGACCCAAGCGACGGTTGCGTCCCACGTTCCATCGGAAGCACAATCCATCCAGACACAGTCGTCCAAACCCCAAGTGGCAGTACAGTGTCAGCCTCAGAGTCCTGTCCCGGGGCAGTCTCCTGTTGGCGTCCAAAGTCCACCACAGACTCGAATACGTCCGTCAACTCCATCCCAAGTGTCTCCGGGACCGCAATCCCAGTCGGTTCCACTTCACCCACACACTTCTCTTCAGCCGCCTTCCCAAGGCCCGCCCCAGGCTCAGCCCCAGGTACAGTCTCCAACTCAAACTCTTTCATCAGGACCCACGTTCACTCAAGTTACCGTTCCGTCCCCGTCCCATCCACAGCTTCTGCTACAGCAGCCACCGCCCCAAGTCCAGCAACAAGTCCCGGTCCTCTCCCAGATCCCGCCACAGGTCGTGGCCCAGATACAGGCCCAGCAAGGTGGTGTGCCCCAGCAAATCAAACTCCAGTTACCTATCCAAATTCCGCAAAGCAGGCCTGTGCAGACTCACCAGATTGAGAGTGTGGTTACAGTGCAGGCAGCCAGTGTGCAAGAGCAGTTGCAGAGGGTGCAGCAACTCAGGGAGCAGCAGCAGCAGAAGAAACAGCAACAGATAGAGATTAAGCGGGAACACACCCTCCACGCTGCTAATCAAAGTGAAATCATTCAGAAACAGGTAACGTGATTACGTAAAAGCAGCATGTTCAGTAGCTTGAATTCTTGTGCTGTGCCGTAGATGTAGCGTTGGGTTTTTGTGAGGTTTCTAAATGAGACAAAATGCACTAATGCTTCAACCGCAGGAGAAGCACCAGAGTGGCCAAAACAATATCGAGTGCCGCCCGTGGTCTGGAACTCTGCTAGTTACGTGCAACCAGTGCTTCTTAAAAACTAACCGTATTTTTGGGAGAACCAAGACGGGAAGAATGAAGTCTAAAGATCATTCATTCATATGACACTTGAGGGGTTAACTATGTGTTCAAGCCACTTCAGACATGACTGCAGTTTCTTTGACATCATTTGAGTTTTTATTTCTTAGTTTGCATGGAGCTAGAGCAAATTACAGATAGACCAGAGTCCTTTGGGAAGAAATGTTAAACACTCTCGCACCCACTCCTCGCTTATCGGCTTGGTTAGTGTCCAAAGGCCGGGTTGTTAAGTGAACATGGACAGTCACCACATGAGATGATGATACAGACGATGACCATTGTCCTTACATGACTGCCAGAGTCCCAGGAACCATGACCCAGGCAAGCTGACACTTTGCCGAAACCCTCGCCCCTCAGCATTGGTTAATGCGCAGAGTAGTTCAGTAGTAACTTTTTTACTGTCGGATAACGAACTAGTTGATAAATGAGGAATGGGTGTATTCCATAGCTTCAATAAAAAGCTGCATCTTGCAGTGGCACCTGGGTGTGAAGGAAGGCAACTTAAATGAGTTTGAGTCCTTCTGCTTAAGCAGCAGTCGCATTTAAAGCCACCTACTTTACTGGAGAAGGCGTTCTTTGCATCCACAACTTGCACCCACCCAGGACTACTTACGACTGGGATTGTGGACCTCATCTCTAAGGGAGAAAGTAGCAGTTTGTAAGAGGAGTGGAGAAATTTTCAGTGAGAGCGGAAATGGGTTCAACTTAGAACCAAAACGTGGGGGAAAGAAGGTAGGCGAAGCATTATGTAATCTTTAATGCCGATGGGATAAAAGCCCAGGGCTCCCTGTTGGATACGACTGACTTGTCGGTCAGTGTTTTGGTTGCTTGGATCTTCCTACAATTAAAGCCAAGAACTAAAGAGCTAGCAAATACTGCTGGTCTTGCACCTTAAGATCCAGTGGCCACTCAGCACATGTGACTATGTAGATTGAAATTAATTAGAATTGAAGGAGGTTTTGCATGTCCCTCTGCCATCTAACTGGCCACAGTCCATGTGGCTTGCAGCCACTGCATTGAATATCCGCAACATCATGGGAAGTTCTGTTGCAGACGCTGCAGAATTACTGTCTAAAACATCTCCCCATAAGGACCCCAAGTGAGAGATGGTTCTCTGACGTTCGGGAGGTATTGCTCCCATGTGTGCTTGGGGCCAGCTAGTGGCAACTAACAGTCCCAGCGATGTGTCTCTGTCTGTTGTGTCCCCGGTAGCCTGCCTTCTCTGCCCTCTTCCCGCTCCTGTCCTTTGCGTTCAGGTTGGCATTTCCCATTGCTGCTCTTTCAGTGGGACTTCTCTCTAGTGAATAGCCCGCTGGAGGCTTGCTGGAATAAGAGGAGGAGGTTTTGCAGAATAAAGGCTTACCAACACCAACAGACATACAAGGCCTTGAAGAACTACTTAGCCCTACAGAGTGGAGACGTGGCTGCTGGCAGGCAGTTGAGTCAAGGCACAGAGAGAGGGTTCTTCTCAGTACATTTGAAATGTTCCATATCCGAACGACAAGAATTTCCAGCTGCCTCGTGAATCGTGACTGGAAATGCATGTCTTAAAAGAAAGAGTACAAGTGTCACCAAGTAATGACCCTGCATTCAGTTCCTGGACCTGCCATTCCCAGTCCTGTGAAGGAAGGTCATACATGTGGCCCAAATCCACAGTCCTTGAGTCAGCTCCAGTGCATGCCGCCCCTGTAAACCAGAGTGGAGCTGCTCTGTGGAGCAGAGTGGCTGGTGGGCTCAAACCGCCAACCTAGCAGTTAGCAGCCCAAAGGTGCGGAGGCCCTTTTTAAATAGGCAAAGGAATCCCAAAGTTGCAGTAAATATTCGTATACAATTGAAGTTCTAGAATGTCTGAGCGCCTTGTCAGCCCTCAGGACTAGACTCCCAACGTTAGGTTTGAAATGCGGCTCGGGTCCAAGTGGAGCCTGCCCGCAGTTGCCGTCTGAACCTCACTGACCCTTATCTAGCGTGGTGGCACACCGGGGAGAGACGGGACACAGAGGGAAAGCCAGCATCACGTTAAAAACATGGCCTTTGGAGGGTCGATGGAGCAGACTCAAAGCTCAGCTGTCTCGCTTGGTATTTAATTGAGTCGCTTGTTTCTTTTTGTGGCAATGCCTCATAAAAGCCTCCCCTCCTTACAGTATGGTTATGTGGAATAGATGAGAGAGCGGCAGGTGCTTTGCCCGGCACCCAGGCCCCTGGGGGCTGTTCATGTTTTCTGTATTCTGATCGCGAACTTCTTAACCTTGTCTTTGGGCAACACTGAAATAGGTGGTGAGATTTCTTCTACTGTCTGTATACCAGTTTGTATTCACTATAAAATGTGCACTGTTGGGTTTTGTTCTGTCCTGAAGGTGGTGATGAAACATAATGCTGTAATAGAACATTTAAAACAGAAAAAGACCCTGACTCCAGCTGAGCGGGAAGAGAATCAAAGGTAGGGAGAAATGTTCCCGGCCGGAACCCGGTCTCCCTGTCGCCCCCGGCCTCTCCGCTACCGCACACCCGACAGTCCCGACTAGGCGTTTTGTAACGTGATCGAGGTTCCTTAAGCCAGAGCATCCCTGGGCACCGACAGGGGCTTCGTCATAGGAGCACACAACTGGTTTGACTTGCTCTCTGAAGCTCTCATCAGCGAGAGCTCAGACTGGCTGTCGAGACAGAAAACCACTGTCATAAGGCTTCCAGAACGAAAGGCCCAGCGTTACATGAATTGTGTGTTTTTCTCTAGAATGATTGTGTGTAACCAGGTGATGAAGTATATTTTGGATAAGATAGATAAAGAAGAAAAGCAGGCGGCCAAAAAACGGAAGCGGGAAGAGAGTGTGGAGCAGAAACGGAGCAAGCAGAATGCTACGAAGCTCTCGGCTCTGCTCTTCAAACACAAAGAGCAGCTGAAAGCGGAGATTCTGAAAAAGAGGGCGCTCCTCGACAAAGACCTCCAAATCGAAGTGCAGGTGAGAAGCCTGTCACCCCTCCCCTGGGGCTGCCGTGGAAAAGCCACTTTCTGCCTTCTGGCCCTGGAGCGTGGAGATAAGCTTAGCGGGTTGCCATGGAGGTAACTGTGTGGTACGGGTCTCTGTGTCCCCGTGCAGCTTGCCCTCTCCTTCCTTGACCTCCTCTGTCCAGCACGCCCTTCATTTCCATCAGGGTGGGACTCTAGTCAGGGAGACTGGACGTTGAGTCCGTACACAGTGTAACAGCCGTGGGGCTGAATGGAAACAAGGCAGGGGTTTTCTGGTCTTCCTGTCTTGCCTTCTCCAAACTAGCCACTGGGAGAGAGCGAGTCCGTGGATTCCGACAGGTCTCAAACTATTATTGAATGAAAAATTCCGATTCTAGGACCATATAGGCAGTGCAATACAAATTCAGTGCATTTAGCAAATCGAGGACCCCTGGAGTCGCTTGTGATTCATGGCGACCCCATGTGGTGACAGTCAGACTGCAGCCTCTCATGCTTCTGGGAGCTGACTGTCGGCTCTCCCTCCTCCTGAGCTGTGTGTGGGGTGAGTTCAGACCTCTAGGTTCGCAGCCGGCACTTCATCTGGGCCCATCAGACTGCTTGCTTTTCAACCGATTAAAGTTGTGCCCCACGCCATTCCCACTTGTATTCTGTACAGTACAGGGGAAATACTGATGTATGGCAGACAATCTGTCTCCTTTCTATTTAAACGACGACAATAAAATGAGGTTTAAAGATTAATATTGAATATACATTCAAAATGTATCCTTTGCACATTATCTTTAACCAAGTATTCAAATATAACCACATTTTATGTAAAAACTACTATGAGCATATAATGAACATTCTTCTGTGTTGAACATAGTACACAGCCATTTACTTACTGTACAATATTACATTGTCTAGGGCTTTTTTGTTGTTATTTTTGACTGTGCTATTTTTTAAAACGAAATGCCCAGTATTAGGCAGTCTCCAGGGTTTGAACCAACTTACAAATTATATTAAAAGTTGGGGGTACATACTTTGGTTCATAATAACAGATGGGGCACACACATCAAGGTATTATTGTTAGAGATGGTTCAGTGCATCTGGAAGAATGTCTTTAACGTTTGTATGCCTTTAAAGGTACACTATACAATAAGACAACATTTGACAGTGGCATTAAAAACAAACCATACAACAACCCAAAAAAAAAAAAACCAAACCATACCCAACTGTTCCTGCTTAGGTACAAATTCAACTTAAAAGCAGATGTAGGAAAAAAAAAAAAAAAAAAGCAGATGTAGGAACTTGTTCATAACCTGGAACTGCTTGAATTTTAACTGGCAGAATTAATATTTCACTGTCAACGCAGCTTGCTATCAAGGACAGCATTCAATTGTGTTATTTACTAGCATATTTGTGTATTTTTGTTTAAGCATTTTTTAATTTGTAATAATTTCATCACTTATTTTTAAGGTAGATGGCTGGGCCTGTTCTTATAACATTTCTGTCTATTAGATAAAACAATACCCTAGTCCCTTTTAAAAATCTAATTGATGCCTACATTTAGCTCTTTGAATACCTTAACCATCAGTATTGTAAACTTTTTACCAATTGTTCTAGAAATTTAGTTTCAGAAGCAGTAAATTCAGGGGCATTTACCAGCTTTGCTGGATAGCTGTTTTCATCGCCCTGGAGGTAGGGTCAGGGAGCTTTATTCTGAGTGAGGCATTTTTATTTTGTTTGTGGTCTTTCAACCCAGCTTTGTTTAGCCCTCCCCTGACCACCAGCCTCAAGCCTGCCCCTATGAGCCCACTCAGAGCCTTTCTGACTCCTTCCCCTGCAAGAGCGGCTGTTTTTTGACTTCCCCTCCTCGTCTCTGTCTGGAGCCCCACAGGGCCACGTTAGCCCTGTTCCTGGTGTTGGTAGCTCTCTGCTGTGTGGAGATATTTATGTCCTTCTTCTGTGATTGATACATGCTTGAATGAGGAAAAAGAGCTAAAGTATATCTACTCAGCACGCCATCTTGACCATCTGTCTTCCTAACATCCATCTTGTTAAGAGCCCCACTGCTAACGGAATGATTGGTCATGTGAGGCCCCTCAGAAAAAAGGCCTGGCCATCTCCTCCCTCGCATCAGCTCCCTTCCGACAGACAGGGGGTCGCCACAAGGCTTCATGGACTCAACAGCCACTGGGGTTGGTTTTCTGCTCTAAAGACGAGGCACCATGGTGGTATAGCGACTGAAGTGTGGCTGCTAACAGAAAGGTCAGGAGTTCGAGCCCACCACAGGAGACTGACGAAACCCCATGACCAGTTATTAGGAGTCGAAATCAACTTGGCAGCAATTGATTATAAGTAGCATAAACTAGGGAAAATGAAACTCTGGATTTTTTTTTTTCCTTTTCTCCTTAAAAGACAAAATGTAGACTCTGTTTTAAGTAGAGCGGGGCTGTCGAGTAGTTAGCTCCTCCGCCTTTCACTAGACCTGCTTCCACAGTGAGTAGCTCCAGAAACCAAACAGTTCACCAGGGCTGTTCAGGTTTATTTATTGGCATTTTGTGATGTTTTAAAGCGAGGAAAGAAGAAACATAACGATCATTACTGGCAGCGGGACGGGGGTTGGGGGCAGCCTGTGCAGGCACGTGAAGGGCCCGAGCAGAATGGCGTCTAGTGGCTCCGGTGTCCGCAGACCTCGCCTGTAGGCCAGTCCTTGGCGTGTTCTTGGTATTTTCTTTCCGTAGGTCTCTCTCGAGCCTGTTCTTCAGAAGTCTCGTAGGTTCAGAGTTCATGTAAATGATCTGTTAACTAATAGCAAATGTATCAGAATGACAAAGGAGAGTGGCCATGGTGCAATCTATCTCGTCTCTCACTTTTATTTCTTCTGCCGTCATAGGACTGAGAGACTTGAGGCCCCGCCCCCACAACCTGCCAGAATGCCGTGTTCAGATGTAAACGATGGTGCCAACTGCATTCTGGGGGTGGGAGTGGATTGTCTCCTTTCTAGGATCTCTGCCCTACGAGTGATTCTCAGTGCGAGTGACACCAAGGGCTTATTGGTGGATGTCAAGCCCAGGGCGTGTGTTTGCTTTGGTGTATTTTCCCCGAGGAAATAGTTTGTTTCAGACATTGTTTCCTAGAGCAAGTCGTAGGCCTGAGCAGTGGCAGTGTGTCCACAAAGTTTCACAGGGAAACAAGAGGACAGGTTTCCATTTGCAGTGAAATTGGCACTGGGCATTGGTGAGTTGCTGTGCCCAGCTCTGCCGCTCGCGATTCCAGACCCAGAGCGTGCTGAGCAAGGCTGGACTGTGTCTCCATCTGCTCACGGAAGTGTCGTGGCCGGGCTTCTTCTAAGGACATGGTGGGCACGGCCGAGGAAAGCCGCCCTTGGGTGAGCACGCTTGCAGTGACGTCCTGACCTGCCACTGAGAAAACCAGGACCCGCGTGGGCAAGCCAGGAGAGACACTCTCTCGTAGACACTGGTCACCTTTCTGCCAGACCTCCCTTCACAGCGGCTCCTGGCTTTCTGATGGTCACGTCAACCTGGTCTTCTGTCTCTGACCAGGCTGATTGGGTTTCCGATGTGCTACGAGAGGCCTTGCCTGGCAGCCCCTTAAGCAGAACCCCGAGATGACCGTTACAGGAGGCGGCAGAGGCCTCTGGCCAGCTCACACGGGTCCCAAATTCTAATGACAGTCTTGTGTTTCATTGGCCGCAGGAAGAGCTAAGGAAAGACCTCAAACTTAAGAAAGAAAAGGACCTGGCCCAGGCCACCGCCATGGCCACCACGCCCCCCGTGGCCACAGCCCTGCCCGCCCCGCCGCCGCCGCCCCCGGCCTCGTCTCCGCCCACCCCGCAGCCCCCTGGCCTGCTGTCCTCGCCCGCGCTGCCCGCCGCTTCCCAGAAGCGGAAGCGGGAAGAGGACAAGGACGCCAGCGCCAAGTCCAAGAAAAAGAAAATGATCTCTACTACCTCAAAGGACACCAAGAAGGACACAAAGCTTTACTGTATCTGTAAAACGCCTTACGATGAATCTAAGTGAGTAGACTTCTTGAGCTCTGGTTGCCTTACCAGTTTAGCTGTTGGTTTGGAAGACGAGGAGTAGTCTGGGAGCAGTTTCAGTGAACGTAGGCAAAAGCCAGGGTAACGCTGCTGCCCCCAGAACCTCTCACCCGACACGCTTGGCGGGAGAAGAGGACAGTGTGTTATTTCACCTGTGTGTGATTCGTGTTGGTCTGTCGCCATCCTCTTACTGTCAAAAACAAGCTTTCTCAGGGGTCCGGTGAACTCTGGGAGGGGGAGGAGTAGTTTACACTGTTGAAAAAATGTAAACCCCCACCGATTGCACAATAAAATTTTTTTTAAAAAACAAACAAAACAAACCCCCCCAAATCAGCTTTCTGTTGCTCCTTGCTCTCTCCTCTCTTCTCTGGGTCAACCCCACGCCTGTCACTGACCGAGCTGGAGAAGGGGAGGTGTTACTGCTGTTACCCAAACCGAAGAGCAGCCTCTCTGGGGTCAGGCCCCAGCCTGTGACCGACTGCTGGGAATGCTGGGGCGCAGGTTTCAGGCCAGCGTGCCGAGAGGCTTTCTCTTAAGCAATTTGGTGGTCTTTGGGTTGGATTACGGCATCTTGCTTTAACCCTCTTTTTGGCAGCGTTCTTCCTTATGAGGGGCAAAAGTGGGGTGGGGGGTGGGGATCCTTTCACAATTCCTCCAGCCTGACCCTCCAAAAGTTGATCCGCCTTACAGCCGGGAGCTGTTTTTGACAGTTGTGACTCGTATTGGTGACATAAGCAATTCCGAGGCCCTTGTCCACAGTGTAGCTTCATTTGTGTGTTGTCATTGCTGCCGTTCTAAGGGTTTAGCTCCTATTGGGCCATTCAGATGCTGGCCAAGCATCTGTCAGCCAAAATCAATCCTCATGGGTTGTTTTGTCGTATTTTTACCCACAGTGCCAAAAAGCCTATCTGATTATCCCAAACTGTGTGACCATTTTTAGAATTAGGAAGGCGAAACCATCCACGGCGGGTGGGCGGGTACCTACGCCATGCATCACTCAAGAGGTGGTCTCTCAAACGATGTCTAAGCTGCGACCTGGAAGCTGCTTTGTGGAGCTGTCTGCAAACGCCACGCCACCGCAGTCCCTTCACACCGGCTTGGGCAGCTTCACTTTCCATCGCCCTACCTGGTGGGGAATTCCACAGAAGGGGGAACATGGCGCCCTCTTAACTGATATTGCCCTTGGTTCACAGCTGGGGTCCCTCCTCCCTTTAAGCAAAACTCACTACGCGGTTGCATGGAACGTCCTTGATTGGCTTTCTTTACAGAAAGAGGTGCTTTGGGCATGTCTTTTGATGACCAGACTTGTTTGGCCCGTGTCAAACACTTGCCTCCCAGAACTCCATCTCACCCCGACTGTTTTCACCCCATGAGATCTACATGTCTGCGTGCTCGTTCTCGAGATCGCCTTGTTATTTTGTAGAAGCTTTCATGTTTTGTTTTGTTTTTCCTTCAGTTTTCCCCAGTTAACACTTCCCATGCCCAGGCCCCTCGGCTCCCTGTTCTAGTTGGGACGAGTTAGTGCTCTTCAGGAGCATACTGTCATCTCGCGGACTCTCTCCTTGAACTTGAGGCCCGTTGGGAACCCAGTGACAAACCATTGATGTTCAAGTCCTGAGCTTACACGCTGAGCCCAGCCCTGTGCAGGCAGCGGGTGTCCAAACGACCTCGAGTGACCCCAGCCCACGGCCGTGAGCGTCATGATTCAGAAGAAGAAAGAGATAGTGACGTGACGATAGGTGCCCGCCTCAGCCACGTGACTGTGGATCATGAAGCTGCTGGTCAGCTGGATGCTTGAGGAGGACTTCCGGCCCTCCCAGTGAATTTCCCCAGTGGAAGGAAAGGAGGGGCGTGGGGTCAGTACCGCCAGACTGGCCTCCCTGGGCCCCATGCAAATGCGTCCCTTCCTCCACAGCCATCAGCACTTTGGAGAACACACTCTCAGGACTTGTCTTTCAAGTCTTGTTCCAGAAAAATCCTTGAGTTCTCACATGATCAATTACCCACACATCCAGGCCTACCCTACCTACGTAACACTGTTGGAAACCTCTCACAATTGGGGGTAACTAGCCCCATAGCGTTCTCTGCACTGGGTTTCCCTGGTTCTGGATCCCCCCACCCCCAGACCCCTCTTTCCACATAGCCACGCACGGGCCCTTACCGCCATTCATCCAGAGGAAACCATTTTTTATTTGATTCCTGTGTTCATTTAGAAGACTTGGTAGACACCGACTTCTCCACGCCCCGCCCCCAGCGTTGTCGTTCATCTCCCATCGTGACCATTCGCCTTCCACGCGTGGCTGACCTGCATGCTCCTCCTAGTGTTAATGTCCACTTGGTGCTTGCGCTTCGCTATGTTTTCAAATTGACCTTGTGAGACGCACTTTCAAACCTATCTGAAACCAGCCCGGACTTTGAGATGGCTTCTGTGGCATAGGTTTGACAGATGTAAGTCTTTGATTCCTTGGCTTTGGTTTTTTGCTTTGTGTGTGTGCGCCTGGACCAGTTTGGCACCCGATTCATTGAGAGTGAGACATCACCAGCGTCTCGTTTATTTTCCTTTTATTTTCTTTCTCAAATTCAGTCTGTTTCTGAAGACCCACCTTTCCCTGAACAGTGTACTTGTTGAAATCCATGTGAGTGCCTCTGTGTGTCACACGCGGTACAGTGTCAGAGGCTGTCGCTTGCCAGGGGTAGAGTGGTTAGACTCAGGAGAAGGCAGTCAGCCTGTAAGAAAGCGAATCAGGGCAGGGAAGACAGATTGACGTACCATGCAGCTCAAAATGACAACTACAGTGTCATTTTCATTGTGAATACTTTTAGGTTCTATATTGGCTGTGATCTTTGTGCTAACTGGTATCATGGAGAATGTGTTGGCATCACAGAAAAGGAGGCTAAGAAAATGGATGTGTACATCTGTAATGATTGTAAACGGGCACAAGAGGGCAGCAGTGAGGAATTGTACTGTATCTGCAGAACACCTTATGATGAGTCACAGTGAGTTCTGATAAGAGCATCATATTTAATCATTTAGGAAGCCAAATTGCTCTGACTGGTTATTTATTTTAAGTTAAGCAAGCTTATTTTTCTGCATATATTATACACTTACATTACAAATTCCTTCCCAGTTTTTTTTGTTTTGTTTTTGTTTTGTTTTTTTCCTTCTTCTTTTCCCCTCTTTACCTCCTCTTCAAAGTTATGTTGCTTCATAGTGAATGTTTGAGATGCATTGGGGGAAATATGGTTTAATATGGTAGCCTTGATTCTTTGATTATATAACACAGAAATTAATGAGATTTCAAACTAGCCTGAATTTTGTTTGGACTTTTATCAGTGTTTGAAATGGTGCTGTATTGTAGGCTAGACAAACACTAATTTGGGTTACAAGCACTGAGATTGTAATTAGCTTGTAGGATTTTGAGCTCCCGATGGGTAGCCAATATCCACTTCCCATTTGATATGGTACCAGTTGAAAGATTTTGGGCTTTATTTTGCTTGGAGCTTTGAAATCAATAAATATGTTGCATTTTCCCCCTCCAATTGGTTCCTTATAGGACAGTATCTTTAATAAACTTTTACTGTTTGTTCTTAATATCAGAAATGCTAAATTAAACACGCTAGTGTCAGGCTTCAAGAATATGAAGTCTCTTATAATCCAGGGGTTTTAGCGCATTGTCAGATGCATGTTTTAGTACTTTCAAAAGTAAGTTATAAGTAATGTCATCCCATCTGTTTTAAACTCACATTTCCATTTCGGACCTTGCAGATTTTATATTGGCTGTGACCGGTGTCAGAATTGGTACCATGGGCGCTGTGTTGGCATCTTGCAAAGTGAGGCCGAGCTCATTGATGAGTATGTCTGTCCACAGTGCCAGTCGACAGAGGACGCCATGACAGTGCTCACTCCGCTGACAGAGAAAGACTACGAGGGGCTGAAGAGGGTGCTGCGCTCCTTACAGGTTAGACGCCACTCGACGCTGTGCTTGGAAAGAACATCAACTGGCACAACTTTGGAAACGTCAAGGGTTTGCACTTTTCCATCCCAGACTGTGTGGTTCTTCACAGCCTCCCAGACAGTCCCTTGACGGGCGTCACACACTTCAGTTATTCACGGGCCAGGGCTCGGGAGCGTGCCACCGTCGTAGCGCGTCTTAACTGCGGCACAATAAGCCCACAGAGTCCCTCAGCTAAGAGGGCCAAGACCACATCCACTCTGGTTTACTGAATACTATTATTTAAGATAATTGCGTTTTCAACCTAAATTTTATGTCTAAAGACAAGTTGACCTTACTACATGCCCTGGATTGATGCTTACTTAAATTCTAGTGAGATGCAAGTCTCTCTCTCTTGAGCTTTGAACCACAGGTCACGGGGGCAGCCTGCAGGAGTAGCCAGTGTTTGAGACGTTTGCAAGACACAGCACACTAGATTGGGACTCTGCCCAACCGAATCATAGTCAGGAGAATTGAAATGAAGAAACTAGTCCCCATGTGCCACTGGATATGACTAAGTGCCCCGTGTCTGCCACTTCATTCCCCAGCGATAAGCATTCCACACGTGGAACGCATCTCACCCCAGTTTTGTAGAAACAATTACAATGTGACACGGCTCATTGGCAGTTCATCAGTTGGGGGCCGATAACAGACTCGTGACTCCTAGACTAGTTGACTCAGCAGGCCCACGTCAGTGGACTAACACTGTTCTCTCACTATAGGCCCACAAGATGGCCTGGCCTTTCCTTGAACCAGTAGACCCTAATGATGCTCCCGATTATTACGGTGTTATTAAGGAGCCTATGGGTAAGTACTTGGGGGGAATGTACAGTTTGATCAGAAGTCTTGGCGGGTTTGGGCCTCTTGAGCGCAGCTCAGGCAGCGCTGGTGGGAATGTGATTTGCCATGGCTGCTTTGGAGAGTAAATTAGGAGGCGCTATTAAAGTTTAAATATGCATTCTCTTGGACCACAATTTCTTTTCCTTCGATTTGCTTTGCCCGTGTATGTTGTTCAGCACAGCAATGTTGATCACTGTGAATTCACTAGAAATGACCTCAGTAGCCACTAGTAGAAGAATAGCTAAATCAAATGATGTAGCCACACAGTAGCGGATTATGCAGCTGTGTAAAAAAAGAAATGAAATCCGTGCATGGGCGGTGTCTCTTGTCCTCCCCTGACACCTCCATTTCATCTTTTCGGAATGAGACCCTATTTGATGGCCCCACCATATGTTGTCTCATTTCATTGGGGGCGGGGTTTGTAGTGAAGAAAAAGTAGCACCCATAAAGAAGATGAATAGCTGTCAGGGATTGTATTTAAAAAGAATCCATTTGCAAAAATTTATAAACATTAAAGCAGGGAGGTAGGTTTCCAAAGCTCCCAAAAGATGAGTTCCACAGCTAGCGGGGTTCTTGAAACAGGAAGGGTTCGTGTGTGACAGCAACGTCAAAGGGGAAGGAGGCAGATGAAAACCCTGAGGCTTTGGAACCATCGTACCTGGTTCAAATTCATGCTGTCCCCTTTGAGAAAGTTTCTGGGGGGAAGGCTGTTAGGATGGAAATACTGAGTAGCACAAAAGGGTTGTTCTGCTGAAATGAGCACAGCTTAATTACAGGAAGTTTAGAGAGAGACGATAAAGGGTACCTATCCTATTTTCCTCACTCAGTCAAAAGGCCATCTTTAGCGTGTGTGTGTGTGTGTGTGTGTGTGTGTGTGTGTGTTAAAATTGAGATCCTATTGTAAATATTTCCTACCTGGCAGATATTTTAATGGCTTCTATAGTCTTAATTGAATATACCCAAAATTCTTGTCTCTTTTCTGTTTCTTACTGTTTATTTGCCCGAGCCACACCCAGCCATTTGGTGGGTATTAAAGAGACTATAGAAGAGAGAAAATCCTACAAGAGAGAAATGGTGGGAAAGGGTGAGGGAACAGGGCAAGTTGGAGGGGTCGATAAGTTATTAAAATTGTTGAATGTGAACTGATCTGATTTATGAATCCCCACTTAAGTCACAATCGGAAAAAAAATGTGCTTGACACAATGGATGGATGGATGGATTGTGATAAGAGTTGTACTAGTCCCCAATAAAAAAAATTTTTTTTTTAAAGTTTACCAAAATAAGAGGGAAGGCAACAATTTCTAACCTGGGTCACACAGCATGAACTAGGGGCCTGACCACCACCCTTAAGGCAGGGGTCTCGTTGAGTAGGTGTGGAGATAGGGATTCAGTAGAGCAAGCCACCTGCACCCACTACCACGGTTTAAAGCCATAGACAACTCTCTTTCCTGTATTCGTAAATATGTGTAGCGATGCATTGAAAAGCATAGAGTAAACTGAAGGGAGCAGTGCCTTTGGGCATAGGAAGAAACCAATAGGATCCGGATCTTTAATTTCCGTGAAGAGATGTCATTTCCCATCATCCTGTTTGACAGCCTAGGTTGTACCCTTAACCAGTGTCTGTCTTCTGTGAGCTGCGATTCAAACTCTTCATAATGTAGCAGGAACCCCTTTGCCTGGATTGTTCCGTTCTGTGCAGCGCGTGCCACTCTGAGCGTTGTAGGACACATCTCTGTCCACGCATCTTCCAGTTACCTTTGGGAACACTCCTAGAATCCACGTTTCAGAGGTGTAGCTATACTTTTTTTAGGCCTCTGATAACAGTTTTCCAAGTTGTAGTCCTGCAGATTGAACCAGCCCTCCCCTGGCGTGTATCATTGTGCCCTCTTCCTCCACACTCTTGAAACCCTGGGTGTCAATCAACCACTGTCTCGAGGGGAGCATTTTGTGTATTTGGCATGTGGTAGTTTTGAACACCATCAGTTCAGAGATGAGTGGTCATGATGAGACCTGCCTTGGGCACTCAGCTTTACCCTGCCTTTTCCCCATCTCCAAGGTATATAAATACTTACCTACATATGATCACTGTGTGCCTAATGGTTTTAATTTTTTACCCCTACACTTTAATCCACTTAAATTTATCTCAGTGTACAATGTAAGATAGAACATTTTTTTCTGACAGGTAGTCAGTTAGCCAGCTCTTATTTATTGACGACTTTTTTGTTCCCCTGCTAATGTGAAATTACCTTACCAACATACATGAAATTCATATGCCAAATACCATTAGCTGTGTTCCTGTTGGGGATTCTGCTCCATTGATGCCCCGGTTCTTCTGCACAGAACCACATTCGTTACCCTCACCATTCTCAAAACGTTTGCTCTCCACCTAAGCCCCTGGCATCAGCTCCTCGTTTTACCCCCTCCCTTTCTGCTTCCCCCTCCTTCATGAACCCTTGCTAATTTATAAATTATTATTTTGTCATATCTTGCCCTGTCTGATGTCTCACTTCACCCACTTTTCTGTTGTCCTTCCCCGAGGGAGGAAGTTATATTTAGATCCCCGTAATTGGTTCCCCGGTATCGCCACTCTCACCACTGGTCCTGAAGGGATCACCTGTCCTGGATTCTCTGTGTTTCCAGTTCCTATCTGTACCAGTGTACATCCTCTGGTCTAGCTGGATCTGTAAGGTCAAATTGGGATCATGATAGTGCCGGGGGCGGGGGGGTTTGGGAAGTAGAGGAAAGTTGTATGTTTCATCGTTGCTACGCTGCGCAACCCTTCTCTAAGGGGATGTCCAGTTGCCCACAGATGGGCTTTGGGTCCCCACTCCGCTCTCCCCCTCATTCACAACCTGTTAACTTTTATTTGTCAAACGTTCCTTCAATATTGCACGTTATTTCGTTTTGTTTTACGACCTTCACAGCTCTCAGGATTTCTGTCTAAGATAGGTACCATTGAGGTTGCATTTCGCTTCATATGTTCCAGAACAGCTAGACGCGTGTCACCTGAGGATTTGTCCCGTTCCCCCACACGATCACTTACTAATTTTTTTCTCCCAAACCCATTTTATTGGGAGTTCCTTCCTATATCTTACTGTTCATGGTTCAGTCACCTCAAGCAGTCTTCTACTATTGCTACACAGTCCATTTCAGAACATTGTCTTCCTTGAACTCCTAAACGTCAGCTCCTTGTCACCTACTAATATGTCCACTAGTGTCAACTCAGCTGTTTTATATCATTACCATCATGAGTGGTGAGGCAGTCGTACTAGTCTTACTACCTACAAACATAACCGTAAAAACTGAGAGCACAGAATAGTATTAAAGCCCAGTACACACATCACAAAACAGTAGTGCCGAGTTTTTCTAGAGCCCCAGCTTTTCTTTGAACCTATGGCACACTTAATTTTGTACGTGGGAAACTTACTGTAGGTAATCAAGTTGGTGTGTGTTTTCAACCAGTTGAATAAAGAGCTACCCAATGTGGTTAACCAAAAGTAAAATTTTCTAATATAAAAAAAAATGTAACCACCTTAACAGTAACCGAGATTTATATTTCAAACCACCTGCTTAACCAGAAACAATTGGAAAAAATGCTCCTCTTTTATTTATTTTACCTTAAAAACCCCAGCAGCAAGCCGGCTTTTCCCAGGACTGCTTGGGGAGGACATGCACACGTAGGCCAATTGAAGTGTCGAGAAAATGCGCACCTGTGTTGGGAAAAGCTGAAGGCATTGATGACGTTGTTCTTTCTGTTTTTAAGACCTTGCCACCATGGAAGAAAGAGTACAAAGACGGTATTACGAAAGGCTGACGGAGTTTGTGGCAGACATGACCAAAATTTTTGATAACTGCCGCTACTACAATCCAAATGACTCCCCCTTTTACCAGTGCGCAGAAGTTCTTGAATCATTCTTTGTACAGAAACTAAAAGGATTCAAGGCTAGCAGGTGAGACAATGCCCAGGGTTCTGAGTTCTTTCTGCCCGCCAGTCTCTGCAGTTTATGGTATGTCTGGGTCTCTGTGAGTCTCTAGTTAACATACATTGCTATCAAGGACAAGCAGGCAAATAGAATAATGAGAAATTGCTCAGTTTATCTCTTAGTGATGTAAACGTTGCTGTGTAAAATTCCACATGCGTCCGTCGAATGTTTACAGCACACAGGCTGTTGTCTTAACTGCCACAGGGCATGGATGGGACAAGGAAGCCAGGCCTCCTCTCGTTGCTTTTACATCCAGATCCCCAACCAAGCCACACGCACTGCCGTCCAGTCAGTGTGTACTCAAAGCAGCCGGACAGGACTGGATAGAAAATCCCTGTGAGTTTCCGAGACTGCGACTCTTCCCTGGAATAGAAAACCCCCTCTTTCTCCCTCTGCACAGCCGTGGTTTCCAACTGCAGACCTTGTGGATTGTCACCACGACACCACTTAGGGGTCCTACGTCTGAATTAGAGAACTATTAGAAGGCCTTATCTCAAAAATACAGTCAGTGGAGACCGGGAAAGAGACCTTAGAGCACGTTCTTTCTTCCTGGTTTCCTGTTTGCTATAAAATGGAACCAAAAAAGAAATTCTCCTGAATGCTTTCTCTGAAGGCACAGCTGGAATTGAATCTTAACTCTCCCAGCCGTCTTCTCTGAGCCCCGAGGAACATCATGCAGCAGCGAGCCTTACAGTTCCATTCCTGTGGCCATGTTCTTCCACGGAGGCCCGTTCTCTGCCTTTGATAGCCACCACCCCTCTAGCCCTCGGGATTCTCCACCACCAGCACCACCACCACCACCATACACGCGCACGCACGCACACACGCGTGCGCGCCATTCAGGCTCAGCAGCCTGAGATTCGGCATGAGGAGGTCGACGCTGGGTTGTGGTTTGTGTCTCTGTCTTTATAATCTCATGCATACCACAGTGTCGGAACCCACGCTCTGCCTGGAGACTCTCCTGTGGAGAGCACTAGAGGCCTCTGTCTCTTCTCCCAGAGCAGGCAGGGGCTTACCAAGAATGAATTTAGAGCCATCTTGGCCCAGCAGAGCTATCTCGTAACCCTCTCAGCAAAAGAATAAAAAACTAGAGGCCATCTGGGCCCAGCCAGTCAGTCATGTGCAACCGCATTTCCAGTCACAAGAGGATTGGGAGAGCCCTCGTCCCATTTCCTTCCCTTCCATCAGGATGCTTTTACAGAATCAGGAAAGTAAAAGAGTACAAGTCCGAGAATGCAAAGCTGCCAGAAAGCAGCGAGAATTCCTCTGGCAGCCGTTCCCATCGGTGTCTGGGGTGGAAAGGGTTCATAAAAGAGATTTGTGTGAGACAGATAAGGAATGTGAGAGGAACCAAAGGCCGTTATCAAGGCCACCCCAAAAAGAACCACAAAGTTGAATGAGAAAGGAAATGACATCTTAGCAAATGTATTTCCCAAAAAGGAGAGAAACGTTTACATAGTTACAGAAATGCATAATTATATTGGTTCTCAACTTTTAAAGTCAGTCTGCAGACAAATCAAGGAAAGCTTTCATTTGCTCCTGGAACGAAATAGAGTGTTTTCTGTGTGGGAGCGGCGCTACGAGCAGAGGGAGGGGAGGGAACTTCAGCGGGAACTTGAAGGGTAGAGAGGCAGCAATAACGACAGGCCACAGTTAGGACTCGGGTAGTTTCTGCAGCGAGAAACTGTAAGATCGCCTAAGAACCAAGTGGTGCTGATGAAACAAGCAATGTCTATACAAATCGAATGACCAAAGAACCAAAAAGATGGTGTTTCACGGGAACTTCAGCCGAGTCCCGGTCGGACGGAGAGAGGCCAGGGCTGTTCTTTAGAAGGCAGGCCTCTGTCTTCTTTGATTGTTGTCATCTGTGTTCAGTCCTTTGGCTACATTTCCAAAGTTGGTTGGTTGGTTGGTTGTTTTTCCTGGAAACACCCTGGGAAGCTGGGGGCCGGGGGGGAGTTCAGAACCCCCAGTCTGAAGGAGAAACGCCTGCCGTCCAGAGCCTGTGGCCAAACAGAGGAGTCTGGGGAAGGGGGTAGGGCAGCCTGGAGGCTGGGTCTACCCCGGGACACCTTGCCGTCTGGTGGTGTGTGGCTCTATTATACTTAGATGCTTTTCATTAACATGGGGGCAGAATTAAGACGTTTGCCCAAGTCTGCTTCTATACAGTTGATATCGAAAGCATTGCATAAAGATAACTGACCTTTTTTGGAGTATTCCTACTGATTTCCAGCTAGAACAGAAATGAAACCATAAATAGTCAGTTGCTGGAATTTGGTTTGCATTTATTCATGGATTTCCAGGGTTTTCTCCATGTTTAATGGGAGGCCACCAGCCTTGTTAGCACAGTGTTTTCTTGATTGCTGTCATGTGCCAGTTACGCAGTCTCATCTCGCGGGTTGTGGTCTCTCGTCTTGAGTTTTACCCGGAGTCAGAACTGGGTGCCAGTCTTTTTTTTTTTTTTTTGGGTGCCAGTCTTTATTGTCCTACTACGTGAGACCTCGCTCAAATATTGCCCCAGCATCTTCCTAAGGTCAACAGTTGATTTTAGCAGCCACGTCGAACAATGCATTTAAAAACTGTAAGCTCCGGGAGGACCGTTATCTGTCTGCTGTTGGAATATAAAGTGCCTGGACTTAACCCAGTGATGATTGTACAGCAATGTGGCTTACCGAAAAGAGCTGTGAATAAAACTGTGAAACTAGGACGGAGACTTGCTGGCGTTAGTAGAAAAATGTGGTATTACTATTCCTCCTCCTTTGCTTTTAACAGAATTATTTTTCTTATCTTCTCCAAGTCTGCGTATAAGCACACATGAATGCCCATCACACATGCCTTTTAGCACAGCGGCAATACCTCTTTAAAGATCTCCACGTGTCCTTTTGGCTTTTATTAGAAAATATAAGTATGTTTTATAAATATTGGCTTTTTCCAGTGAATTGTGTTGGATATACAGTTAAACTTTTTTTAATGTGACCATTGACATGTTTCTTAATTGCTCACATACACTCGCTGGCCAACGGTGCGTGAAAGAACATGTCCACAGCCCCCACCGAGGCGACTGGCCTCGGCATCCACACAGAGCATCATGGTTTCCCCCAGTAAAGGGTGCTTAATTGTTCCCTTTTTTCTATATTCTGCAGGTCGCATAACAACAAACTGCAGTCTACAGCTTCTTAAAGCGCAGTGTGTTGATCTAACATAAAACACGGCAAGGATCTGGTTGTCTGAACTATTTTAAATTAAGGAGCCAGATGTTTTTAGTCAGGTTATCCTGACAAAACTTGACCTACACTTCGTTTTTATTGGTCATAACAGTCCAATTATATTCTTGGCCAATTTTGTCCAACGGACAAAGGAATTGCAAAATCAACGACACCATTATCTTGTCAAGATCAAATGGTTGTACTCTTGTGGCAGAAGCGGGAAACCTTTGTTGAAAGGCGAGAGAGAGGAGAGAGAGAGAAAGCAAGAAAAAAGAATATGGGGTCAAGTGCAACTCCATGGAAATGCCACGTCTGCTCTTCAGTGAAGAAGCTGGTTTAGAGTCTCACAGAAAACTTTTGACTGTATTTATTTATTGTTGCAAAAAAGACGCTTTTTTATTGCTGCCCTCATTTGTCAGCTAATTATTTTTTCTTATACGATCCAGCCCCCATCACATGTAATCCATCCTGTATCTTATCATGATTCCTGTAGATCAGAGTACGAGACAACCTCTAGACGTCTTCTCTTTCTGTGAAAGGAGCTGCTATGTACACATGTGCACACAACGACTGGGAATCAACAATGCGTCTCTTGTTCGTGGTAGGTCAGAACGAAGCTGGTGGAAAGGCGGGGCCAAGGGTCCCCGACTACAGACTGTTGTTGCCTTGCATAGAACATGGCAATTTGTCATTTACTCTGCACCAGGCGAAACTGAGTAAAATCTATTTGAAGGTATCTTGTTTGTAAACATTTGTCAGATTCTAATTTTTTTTCCTTTTGTATTAAAATTCAACTATGGATGTATATGAAACGAAATAAAAGGAGATCATTTTTCTCCCACAGATAGAGGTGTCTTTGAATGTGCGCTGATTCCTGTAAACCCTCGCGGGGAGCGGGCGGGCTGACAGGAGAAGTAAGGCAAAAGCCCTACGACTGTGCCCGGTGTTCGCCGGGACTCTAGTGCCCCTTTGTTGGGTCCTCCCTGCCGAGACGAGCCCACCAGGGACAGTGCCAGGCAGACGACCACTCCTGGGGCAGGGGTGACAGTTACCTTTCTGAAGGGTGGTTTCTCTGGCTGGTGGTGGTAGTGGTGTTGGTTGGTTGGTTTGGGCACGTTGTGGAAGCAGGAGGAGGAAAGGGAGCCACAAGGAGAGGCATGTTGTCGTGCTTTTCCTTTCAGCGTTCGAACCTCGGCACTGCCTTGTAATAATGGCTTCTGAATCTGACACTGTTGAATTATACAGCTTTTCAAAAAGCTTACTAGATTTTGCACTAATTCTTACTAGCTTTGTCTGACCCAGTTCTGGAATTTACCCAGTGGTGTGTTTTGGTGTGCGTGTGTATGTTTTTGTTGTTGTTTTTAAGTTTCTTTCTGTTGACTATTGCCCTGCTATGCAAGACCCTTCCCAGACCTGCATTGCTTTGTTTTTATTGCGACAGCTCCCTCTTGCTTCCGCCAGGCTCAGGTGCACAGATTCTTGTAGGTGAATTGTTTCTGATGAAGCCCATTCCTTTTTGGACATAGAGACGTCACTAATCCTATGCTTACAAACTAAAGAGACTACTTGTTCACTCTAGAAAGAAACAACTTTTTTTAGTGGGTTTTTACAATGAAAGTAGCCAAATGTAGGTTATTTTGCCCTCTTTAATGCTACGTATTGTGTTGATGCAAGAATTAATGAATTATAAAATTATTCAGCACCTCGTCACAGTATTTCTGTACTATTTATTCATATATAAACATATATTGGCTTAACTCGTTTAGCACTTGGGGGGAGAACTTTCCTACCTGAAGGCAATAGAGTGCTATGTTTTTAACAAATTGTGACTTTTTTTTTTTAACTTAATCGGACACTTCATCCTAGAAAAATAGTGTTCTTAACATTGGATTTGGTGCCATTTCTAATGAAACAATGACTGGTTGGTTGGTTAATGATATATATTTTCTGTAGCTGTTGGTATTGCCAAATTGTACATAAAAGGTGAATTTTATGGGAATCCTCAGACTAAGAAGATGCTAATTTCATATGTGTATTTAATGGTACAAAGCCTCTTTGCAGTTTTCTATCACCATATAAATACATAGACATTTTATAGTTTTATCAATTACAGAGCTTTAGTCTTTCAAAAGTAATTTTTGAGAAGAAAAATACATTCTTACAAAACGTGTTTTGAAAGCTGCGTTTTTATGACTATTCTTGGACAAGCTTCTGCTATTCAGCAATGTCTACTTATTACAGTTTTGTTTTGTTTTTTCCCTTTCAGCAACCCAAGTGGCATTTGTGATGTTGTTAAAACGTTTCTACCCCGGTCTGTGGGCTTGTAATTTGCACCAGCAGATTTCCTGGGCTGAAAGTATTTTCAATGCTTGTTGTTCATCATCTGCCAAGGTCATAATCCTGGAAACCAGTTCATGAAAATTGTTTTGGTAATATTGATAAGGCTTTTTTATTTCTATCCAAATTCTGCAGGATTTGTATTTTAATGCCTTGCAGGATGCAGACAAAAGGAGGGGGCGGGAGGGAGTACGGACGTTCTGAGAAATTTTCTAAAGTGCAACACTTACCTTTTTTATATTTCAAATGGCCTGGAGTGTTACCTAGAGACGCCGCGATTTGCTGCTGTTTGTAATCTATCTTCCTAGCATCTGCAAATAAAAGTTCTTTCCCTACTGCTGCTCATTTCTCATAGGCAAACTCCCTGCTTCTTCGTGTGTTTTCTGATACGTGATTACTGTGGCCCTCGCTGTTCCTGATTTGAGACAATTGCCCATAAACCCCAAGTTCCTAGTCCTTGGGAATGAGACTGGTGGCACCCACGGGCAGAGTAATGCCCTAAGTGCTTGGGTATGGAGGGGGTCTGAAACACCGAGGGCTTTAGGGACTTAGAATGATGGCCGCCCCGAGCTGGTGAATGGAGTCCGCTTCCGTGATCCTAGAGGACAACTGTCCCGGGCAGCCGTGGCCTTCACAGAGCAAACGGCTGCCACCTTGTTCTCCCACAGAACAACGGGTGGGTTCCACCCTTTGGTTAGTGGCTGGGGACTTTCACCTGTACAAGAGTCTCTTAGGAAAAGATCCTAAAAATTTGACATTTTTTCAGAAAAATCATTTGATCCAATTGGGATCACATCCAATAAAAGATACGACAGTCTCACTTTCTTCATTCGTAACTTGCATGATATGACCTGAAGCGGAGTTTATGTACTACATTATTGGCAATCGAACAATTGCCAGAGTACCGGGTAAAAAGGAACAAGGGGTGCTTAGCCTTTTGGGCCTGCCTTGATTGTATCCAGACAGTTCCTAAGAAGCTGGCCTGCTGTGTTTGCTGGAGCAGGCCTGCTGACTCCACCGACTTCGAAACCTGCAGCGCTGGCATATTGTGTTTCCAGCATCTCAGAACCTCATCGAAGCAGCCAAACTCAACCCTTGTGGCCTGGGCGAAAGTGATTTTCCTCCTCTCAAACCAGTGCTGTGTCGCTCCTCAAGGGTAACCTGGACCCATCCACTCAGTGACTGACCGACCTGGCCATTCTGTAATCCCCCCCCCTCCCCCCAGGTGACTCAAGAAGGTCCCTCAGCCTGTTGACCTTCCAAACTTCCGCTTTGGATTTTGTGACATGACTGGCACTACCTTCTTAGTTCATTTTGCCTTAAAACTAAACCTGGAAGCACTTCACTAGCTGCAGACGCCATCTCTGAGAAACATCAAATCAGTCCAACTCCAGCCGACTGCCAAGAATTTAAGGAAATTTGTGTAAAAATCATGACTGGGAAATGCTAGAAAAATCCTTCAATAATACCGTCCCACAGAATCATCAGAACCTCTCCATTTCCTGTTATCTCTGTGCCCTGCATTTGGAGGCAAATCAGGTCTCCCATCACAATTACACATTGTCTTAAAGCTCTTGCTACAAGTGTCTCTGTGCCTTCTCTAGTGCCCCCTCATGGACCGCCTTTGGATACCCAGGGCTCCTCTGGGACCCCCAAAAGACTTCCATTTCAGACACATCTTGAGCATGTTGGAGACCAAATGGGCTAGTTCGTTCTCCAGGGCCATCCATCCTCCTTTTACCCTTCTTTGTAGTCATGAATCCTCACCTGTGGCTTATTGGCGTCTCCATTCACGACACTTCAAAGTAAGATTGGTCGTCTGAAAAAGAACGAACGTCTTCATAGACTATGTTAAAGTGCCCGGGGAGTAAGGGGACCTTTTTCAAACCACGTGAGAAATGTCTGGAGTCCATGTTTGTAAGTTGTCATAGATGAATATTCCTAACAGGGTTTGAGGTTAAAGGCTTTTTCCCAAACCTTTGGGAGTCGGATGGACTAAAATACCAGGTACATCCAAGATGTGATTGTAGGGCAAGATTTACTGCTTTACAAACACACACAGGATAATTTTAATAAGAAAAATTACATCAGATTCACCCAGAATATCTTGAGCATTGGGATCACCAGCCAATTTTGGCACAAAATTAACAGCTGGGAGGTACAAAAATAAACTCTTTACTTGGGTTCATCTGGAACATTTGTTTGCATATTTGCTGTAATTTAGCCCGTCAGTGCGCTCTAAATGTAAAGTGTTAATGCTTCTCCTAGGCTTTGACCCTTGCGTTTGAGCTAAATGACATTTCATGTCTGTAAAATGCCTGACCTAGTGTACTGACTGTTATGTGACAGAAGTCAAAACACGATGGTTGGAGTTCAATACATGATCATATCCAAAGTTATATATAAATTCAAGGAAATTTTGGATTTTTGGTAAACTATCATCTCTACTGGAGAATGTATTTAAATAAAGATAAAATTAACATGAAGCCATGATCCCTTAGCAGGCCTGGTCCGTTATCTGATGAGCTGTGTGAACCACTGCCTGGCACTGCAGCAATCACCTTGCCACTGAGCTCAGACGCCTAACATTTCAAAAGTATGCCACAGAGTGGCAGCGTCAAGATAGGAGCTGGTGCTGCACAAGTAGTTCGGAAAGGAGCAGGCGGGCTCTGTTCTGAAGAAAGAGTCCCTGACATGAAGTGGGCCTTTCCAGTCCGAATCTCAGATCCAGCAATGTCAGTTTGCCCATTTCAATGGCACTGGGTGTTACTGGCTCCTTGAACTTGACCATCCCTTTTTCTGTTAAATCTTTTCACATAGCTGCTGCTGCTCCTAAGCAGCCCATCTCCAGGGCGGACACGGCCTCTCAGGACCCGGAGCAGAGCTGCAGGAAGCTGGCGTCTCTTGTGGTAGACGTGGCCCATCACAATATACCTGCTGCCTGAACAAGAGAATCAAAAATACACATTAATCCTCTTTTTGTCAATGCTGCTAGATTTACAGTAATTCTCATCTCTCACTGCCTTAGTCGATGTTGACTCAAAGCGACCCTATTGGGCTAGGGTGGGGAACTGCCCTTGTTGGTTTCAGGGACTGTAACTCTTTACAGAGAAGTAGAAAGACATGACTTTCAACCAAAGCAAACACTACAATTGAGTGGATGCAGACTCATAGCGACCCTATAGGACAGGTAGAACTGCCCCTGTGAGCTCCCAAGACTTTTACTAGGGTGGAAAGCCTTGTCTTTCTCGCAGTTTACAATAGTAAATTCCTAAGCATGAATCTTAGGAATCATCCTGGACCTGGTGACGCTTTTGACACTTGGCCTACAACAAAAAGGTGGGAGCTCCCCAACAGAGCCAGATGGTTTGTCCACAGCGGGCACTACTGAGCAAACCCGATGCCATGTCTCAGCAGAACACTCCAGAATTTATCTCCTGAAAGTACCGAGTATCCCCACCCCAGCACCCTGTTCTCAACAGGGTCCATTAGGCTTCGCTGTTTTCATTCCCGCCATTTGTCAACTATTTACTGATGGCTTGTCCAAAGTACCCACATTGTTCCTGATCCCACCTCAACCTGAAGGAGAAATTGCTAAATGAGACAGGATTCAATGCTCTCCTCCAAATCCTACACATTTTACACTATCACCCCAATAAAAGGTGGCTGCCCTGTAATCCCAGTTGCAAATGGTGAGAAAAATTCGTGTTCCTGTACATCAGTTTCAATACCGGGTTTAAGTTCGGGGCAGGGCTTAGGGCAACTGGCCAAGTCCAGGACTAGGATGTGAACGCGCAGGAAGAAGCCGTCGGGGGTGCTGTACAGGCGGCTCATCTTGTACAGCCCGTCGCGGTCCACCAGCAGCGTCACCAGCCGGATCCCAGGTCCCAGCACATCCACGTCGTGCACGATTCCGTTCACTGCTACTTCCAAAACACAAACAAGGTTTAGAGGAAAGCACACCGATTCCATCTCTCGTTCCCCGCAATGGGCGTTCTTAACAAACCGGTCAACAGCCCATCAGGTTTGTGGCCTGCAGGTGGCTTTTTCTAGGGGGCTCGCCTGGCGCCCTGCGCGCGCAGCCGGGCCCGGGCAGTGGTGGAACCAGGTTACCGAATTCGCTCCCGCAGTAGGACTCGCGTTCGTCCAGGTCCGTCCTGCAGGCGCGCGCACACGACTCCGCGTCCCTCCCCGGCGTGCTGGGGCGCGGCGGCGCGGGC